TTTTTTTTTTTTTTTTTTTTTTTTTTTTTTTTAAGATTTTATTTATTTATTTGAGAGAGAGAGAGAGAGAGAGACAGCATGAGAGGGGAGAGGGTCAGAGGGAGAAGCAGGCTCCCTGTTGAGCCGGAAGCACGATGTGGGACTCGATCCCAAGACTCTGGGGTCATGACCCGAGCCGAAGGCAGTCACTTAACCAACTGAGCCACCCAGGTGCCCAGGCTGAGCGCTTCTGTTTTCCTTAGAGACCCTTGAACCCCGGAGGGCTAAGAAGTGTGCTGCTTCCCAAGAGGCCCTTCCGGGGTTAGGGATGTTCCCTGAATCGTAGGCTGTGGTGTGGCACCAGGAAGGGCTGGGCTTCCCCTGCACCCTCATCCCTAGTGGCCCTGCTTCCATCCCACAGGCCTGGCTGCCAGGGTGAGGCTCAGCCTCCTGTGCCCTGCTTCCGGGTCTGAGGAGGGTCCGGCCCCTGGAAATGGGTGTGGCTGGCCCCCTTACTGGGGACCAGACATCACCCTGACCCTGAGTTTGTGTTTAGTTCCACAGAATAACGAGAAGCTTCAGGAGAGCCCATGCATCTTTGCGTTGACGCCAAGGCAAGTGGAGCTGATCCGGAACTCCAGGTGCGCTGTGCCCTGCACCCCTGCTGGGCCTCCGCGGCAGGCAGTGGACCAGCATGGTGTTGGGCCATCTAGAGGGCCGGGCTAGGGGAGCCTTCTGCAGACCTGATGTGGACCCTGCGCTCCGCGGTGGGGGGAGGGGAAGCCCCACCCCCGCCCTGTGCTCGGCACCTGCCGTGTGTACTGGGCAGTGCGCCCCGTCTGCATGCTCTCACTGCCTCTGATACGCAGTCCCCACTTTAACAGAGCTCCCCCTTGGCACTGTTGACATCGGGGCTGGATCCCTCTTCAGGGGGGCGCCCTGGGCACTGTGGGGGGCTGAGCAGCATCCCTGGCCCCACCCACTTGATGGCAGGCCTCCCCTTGTTGTGATGGCTCTAGCTGCCCCAGACGCTGCCTGGGGTCCTGCCAGGGCAGGATCTCCCTGATGGAGACCCCGAGCCGTAACAGCCGAGGGTCAGAGGCATTCCCGGTGTTTGCTGTCCAAGACCCTTTGGTCTGGAGCAGCCGTTTGTTGCCCACTTGGCACATGCTGGGCTTCTACCCACCAACCTGTTAACTACATCCGTGTGGATGCCCCCGCTTCAGTTGTACAGGCGGGGAGGTCACCTGCCCAGGTCACCAGTGAGTAAACAGGAGAGAACGTTTCAGTCAGCTCCCAGAGACCTTCGGTTGCCATGGGAGATGGCAGGTGAACCTGTCTGGCTAGCGCAGCTGAAGTGATCAGCGTGCCATGCTGGGTGCTCTCCTGCCTCACTGACCCCCCTTCTCCTCCCCTCTGCTTCCTCGGCCTGCGCAGAGAACTGCAGCCCGGGATCAAGGCCGTGCAGGTCGTCCTCAGGTAAGCCTGGGCCTGCGCACATGCCCCGGTGCCCGTAGCCCTGCCCTGTCCACCCCAGGTGCATCCCAGTCGGGCCCCTCTCCCTCCTGACGGCTTCTCTGGTTCTACCCGGTCAGAGGTGGAGGCCTGCCCCTCCTTTCTTCCTGCTGTCCGTCCTTGCCTGTGGACACATCACCGGCCAGCCTTGCTCAGCCCAGATCTGGGGCCCCGAGAGCCCCTTGTACGGTCCAGAATGGCGATGCATCTGCTGGGCAGAAACGGTCCTTGTGGCCTCCACGCTGGCCCTGCACCCATCCCCCTCTCAGGGCCACCCCTCTGGCCAGAGCCCCTGCTGGCCTCACGGTCCATGTTGTTATTGCAGAATTTGCTACTCAGACACCAGCGGCCCTCAGGAGGACCAGTACCCACCCAACATCGCCGTGAAGGTCAACCACAGCTACTGCTCGGTCCCGGTGAGTGTCCCCCACCACCCGCGGTCCCCCTCTCCCCCCCCCCCCCCCGCAGCCTTGGGCCACTGTGGGGGTGGGGCAGAGAGGGCACCATGGAACCTCTCTCCGAGGTGTGAGCCCCCGCATCTGCTTCCAGGGCTACTACCCCTCCAATAAGCCTGGAGTGGAACCCAAGAGGCCCTGCCGCCCCATCAACCTCACCCACCTCATGTACCTGTCCTCGGCCACCAACCGCATCACCGTGACCTGGGGGAACTACGGCAAGGTGAGTGGGGTGGGGCTGACTCCCCTCCCCCCCCCCCCCCCCGCAGGCCCCGCCTCGGCCTCACCGCCCCTCCCCCACCTCTGTCCCCAGAGTTACTCCGTGGCCTTGTACTTGGTGCGGCAACTGACCTCTTCGGAACTGCTGCAGAGGTTGAAAACCATTGGGGTCAAGCATCCAGAGCTGTGCAAGGCACTGGGTGAGCTGGTGGGCCCGTGTGTCACCCCGGGGGATGTGGAAGGAGGGGGAGCAGAACAGCCAGCACAGAAGCCCTGAGGCAGGGATGTGGGAGGCAGGCCCTCCAGCCCAGGGAGCCTGGGTGGTGAGAGCCAGGGGCAGGTCTGGCATGTGGGCAGGGTGAGCACACGGGAGTCATCCCCACAGCAGCGAGGCGGGAAAGATCCTGGGGGATGGGTGCTGGAGGCTGATGCTTCTGACTACTGGGTGGGGACCAGGGACACGGGGGAGGGAGCAGACCTGATTCACAGCCGCAGGTACCGGGGAGTGATGGAATCCAACCTGAGACCAGACCAGCTGTGTTGGGGGCGGTGGGGGGGACACAGTGAGCATTGAAAGTGAACCACCACCAAGACGGTCCTGTTTCTTGTCTCGTGTCCGTGCATGCGGTGGCTGTGTGGCCTCAGGCAAGTCACTGACCCTCTCTGGTCACTGCACCGTCTCACCAGATCCTCACAGTAGTCCTGGGCCAAGGGACTTGGTGATGTCCCCATCTGACCGTTGGTGACCCTGAGGCGCAGAGTGGCAGGGCTCCCGCCCATGCACCCCACCTCACTGCCTCCCTTTCTCGCAAAGAGCCCTTTCTTCAAAATCAGCCCCCCACCTGCCCATCTCCCTGCAGGGACAATGACCGACTTGACCAGAGGGGGCAGGCATTGGCGTGGGGGCCAGGCGGGATTCATCCAGGCCGAGGCCCACAGGGCGGGGGCAGGGCACCCAGAGGTCTGGCGGAAGTCTGGGAGAGGCGGGGGTCCACCAGGCTGGAGGGGGTGGTGTGTGGGGGACCGCTGGGGCCCCTGCGTGGCGCCGATCGTTCGGTCTCCTCTTGGAAGCCGCCCGCGGGCTGGCTCGCTGGCCGCTGCATTGTTAGCTGCCGCGGGAAGTCCTGCAGCTGTCTGACCGGCAGCCTTTTCGTTGCACCCAACCTTCTGTTTGTTGGGTGCGGAGGAGGTGGCCTCTCCTCAAAACCAGACGCACCTGAGTTCGTCACTGGCGTTTTGGCCACAGAGGCGAGCCCTGGGGTGGGAATTCAGGAGAAGGTGTGAACGGCTGATGCGGCCTTCGGGACGTTGGGGAGAGGGGTGGGCCCAGGCCCCCTCAACCCTGTGTGGGAGGGAAGAGGAAGCTTCTGGAGGAGGGGCTGCAGGGGTTTCATGGAGGAAGGAGGGGCAGCTCCAGGGTCAGTCTGCCCTGAGCCCTCTGGGGGTCTGTCAGCCAGTCTCCCCATTCCCACTGAGAGCAGAACAAACGCAGAACGAGCCTGAAAGGGTTCAGAGGGAGGGAGACTGTGCTCCTCCTTGCGGGCCTGCCCCAGGGTTTGCTCGCGTGCACTTCCTTCCAGTCTCTCTCCCAGCCGTGTTCACCGGCAAGAAGGGGGCCTTGTGTGTTGTTGTGGGCATTTTCCACGAGGCCTTTGGCTTCAGGTCACCCGAGAGGCCGTGCTCGTGGGCTCGCTCCTGCCCCTGCCAGGGTCGGGGGTGTCCGGGAATGGGGCCGCCAGGACCGTCCTGGAGCGGCCCATCTTCCTTCCCGCTGAGCCCTCTCGGCTGGTTGGTGTAGGACGCCCAGTCCCAGCGAACAGCCCCGTCTGCGGCTGTCGGTTGCCTTCATCCTTCTTCCAAAAGAGGCCTGTGGGCTGTGAAAACGGGCAGCAGAGGGGGCTTGTCAGGTCAGCCTGCCCCGTTGGCGTGCCAGGTCGTCCGAAATTACCGGCCCCTGCCCAGGACGCTTCCACAGGTGACCCTCGGGGCCCTGGGCCCTGGGCCCTGGAGCCAAAACGTACATCTCGTCATCCTGGGAGGTGGATGTTGGGGTGCTCCGTGTGTGGACCGTCTTCCCCCTGAGATGGAGGGGTTGAGGCTGCTTGCCGCTGCCTTCTCCGGCGTCCGTGGGTGCTGGAAAAGCCTGCATCTTGGCTCCGACCCTGCAGACGCCTCTGTCCCTTCTGCTAACAACGGCCGCCCCCTTCTCCACAGTCAAAGAGAAGCTGCGTCTGGACCCCGACAGCGAGATCGCCACCACCGGCGTGCGGGTCTCCCTCATCTGCCCGGTGAGTCGGGCTGCGCGTCCTCTGCTCCCCACCTGCCTGCCACGTGGGGCCGCCTGGTGGGGCGGGGGGCCACTCACGCCACCCGCTCTCCCCCCCCCCCCGCAGCTGGTGAAGATGCGGCTGTCGGTGCCCTGCCGGGCAGAGACCTGCGCCCACCTGCAGTGCTTCGACGCCGTCTTCTACCTCCAGATGAACGAGAAGAAGCCCACCTGGATGTGCCCCGTGTGCGACAAGCCGGCCCCCTACGACCAGCTCATCATCGACGGGTGAGGCTCCGGGCGGCGCTGGGCAGCCCCTGTCATCCCTGCGCCCACCCTGTGGCAGGAGAGGCCACGCCGCGCGACTCCGGAGGCCCCTGGGTCTCCTGACTGTCCGGGGTCTGCGGGTGGCTCGGAAGCCCTGGCCGCAGGGAAGGCAGATGTCCTCCTCGGGCTCCGGGGCCTTCGTGTGCTGGCGGGCACTGCTAGCTTAGGCTCTCTGGGCCCAGGAGGTCGGTTGTTGCTTGTGACCCCGCGGACCTGGAGTCTGCTTTTCCCCACATGAGGCAGGGACCCCGAGAGCCCAGTCCCACGGCCGCTGCGCGAGCCGGAGAACTGCTCCCCACACAGCATTTAGCACTGCTGCTGGTACGCCATCTGTACGGAGAGCTGGGAAGCACAGTCTCCCCGACTCTGGTCTTGGCTCTCATGTGCCCCTCTTCCCAGGCGGCGTCAGCCCCCCTCCGGGCCACGGGGGTGAGGGGAAAAGGCCGTTCTCCCCAAAAGGGAGACTTTGCTCAGGTCTTAGGTTTCCAGAAACCGAGCCCAACACCTGACCGAGCAGCTCCTGCCAGGCGCCAGCCACACCCACAGGACACCATGTCCTGTCCCCCGAGCTGGGGGAGGGGCGGGAGGGTAGGTTTTGGGTGGGTGGGGGAGATGCGGCCGCCAGGCTGGGTCTGTGCTTACCCTCTGCGCCTGGCAGTGCGTGAGGGCCGAGTGTGTGCGTGGGATTTGTGCATGCTGTGGGCCCGGGGATGGCCCACGGCCGGCAGGGGCTTGGCGTGAGTCCGTCCCCACGTTGGGGTGCTTGTCTCCATATGGTCACTGCCCTCGGGCTGTTGTCCAGCCATCCCTCCCAGCCGTGCCAGCAGGTGGGCCTGGATCGTCCCCACCTTACAGATGAGGAGACTGAGGCTCAGAGGGGGCAGTCACCTGCCCTGGGCATGCCCAGCTCACAGGTGGCCGGGCCAGCACTGGAACCCGGGTCTGGCCAGCTCTGAGCCTGGCTCCCCTCCCCGGAGGAGCGGAGCTGCCGGGCCCCAGTGTCCCCACGCCATCCAGCCTTGGGGTGGAGTGAGGAGGCCCCTGGGGCCGGGCACAAGGGTCAGGGCTGAATGGCTGCTCTGTTCCTGGCCTGGCAGCTGTGTGGCCCCGTGCTTGCCTCTCCCCCCACCCCCACAGGCCTAGAGCGGGTCACCCAGGCTCGAGTTGCGGCAGCTCCGACGGCTCCAGGGGCAGATGGGCCTGGGGTTTGGGGGTGTGGCTGTGCCCCACACGCCACAGTCCCAGCATCCCACGGGCTCTGGGCATAGCCAGGGAGGCTTCCTGGAAGCGGGGTCCTTGATTCATGTGCTTCCTCGAGGATTATGCTCTTTTGTCCCACGCTTGGCCCTGAGCTGGGTGATGCTGGGGTCCTCATAAGGACTCTGCCCCAGACTCTGCCTTCCGAGAACCCCCAGCCAGGCACAGGGAGCGTGGGGCACGAGCCAGCCAGAGGCACTCCTACTGCTCGGGCTGCGCACAGGGGTGCTCCGGTGGAGACGTTCACGGCGGGCGGAGCTGTGTTGACACCACAGAGTGGCCCTGGGGGATGTCCTGGAGCAGGAAAGGGCCTCCCTCCTGTGTGACTGCGTCTGAGGTGGTTGAAGTTACGTGGAGGCAGGTGCCGCTTTGACCTGGAGTAAATATTGGGGGCCACATTGGCCCGTTGCCACTGCGGCACGTGTGTCCCCTGTACAGGACCTGGCCTGGCGTGGGCCCCCCTGGCTGCTGGAGTTAGTGGGCGCTGCATAGGCCTCAGAGGTGGGCAGACGGAGGCCCGGTGACCGGGAAGGGGCGGGGCCAGGAATGGAGCCCAGGCGGCCTGCTTTCTGGCCTCATTGGCTTTGGGGAGCTTCCCACCCCTCCCTGGGCCTCAGTTTCTCCATCTGTAAAATGGGTCTGGCTGGCAGTACCTCAGTGAAACAGTGCCAGGGCATGTCCCCCTGGGCCCGGCTCGCGGTGGGTGCTCTCGGGGGTGTTGTCGTGTGCGTGGGGAACACAGTGGCCTCCCTTCTACTTCCTGTCCCACCCCAGGGCCTCTCCCGTGGCCGGGGGGGGGGGGGGGGGGGGGGAGGGGTTGGGCTGTGAGCAGGGTGCACGGCCTATACACGCCTGGCGCCTCATCTGTAGCGAGGGGCGGCGCAGGACCAAGACGGGAGGGCAGGGGGCCGTGGGGCAGAGGGGTGGCTGTAGGCCCACGGAGTGCTGCGCGGGCAGGCCCCTCCCTCCCGCGGGGCCGCCGGACCTCGGCCCCCAGGCCCTGGTGGGTGCTGTCCTAAAGCCACTGCCGCAGAGAAGGAAGGGACTTATTTAGCGAGCGTCCCACCTGAGTCTGGGGGGGGGTGGGGGCAGACAGCGGCCCAGGAGTCAGCCCCTCGCCCCTCCAGGCTCCTCTCCAAGATCCTGAGCGAGTGCGAGGATGCTGACGAGATCGAGTACCTGGTGGACGGCTCGTGGTGCCCGATCCGCGCCGAAAAGGAGCGTAGCTGCAGCCCGCAGTGCCCCATCCTCGTGCTCGGTGAGTCAGCTCCCCCCGGAGCCGGGCTCGGCGGGGGGCGGGGGGCGGGGGGGGGCTCTGGCTAGAGGGCCTCCTGTGTGCCGCGCCCTGGACGGGGCTCTGGGGACCCTGTGGCGCTCGTGGAGGCGGAGGAGCGGCCCCGGGGCCCCTGCCCGTCACCGGCCGCCGCGCGCCTGCTCTGAGCACCTCTCCCTGTTGCCCGCAGGCACCTCGGACGCCAACGGGCTCCTGTCCGCCCCCAACGTCAACGGCGGCGGCGGCGGCGGCGGCGGCGGCGGCGGCGGTGGGGGCGGCGGCGGCGGCGGCGGCGCGCTTGGGGGCGCCGGGGGCGGGGCCGGGGCGGCGGGCGGTGTTGAGAACGGGAAGCCGGGAGCCGACGTGGTGGACCTGACGCTGGACAGCTCGTCGTCCTCGGAGGAGGAGGAGGAGGACGACGACGACGAGGAGGAGGACGAGGAGGGCCCGCGGCCCAAGCGGCGCTGTCCCTTCCAGAAGGGCCTGGTGTCGGCCTGCTGACTGCTCGCCGCCGCCGCCGCTGCCGCCGCCGCCGCCGGCTGGACCCTCGACTTTCCTGGTGCTCACCCACGCGGATGGGGCGCAGGCGGGCCTCGGGGTGCAGAGGGAGGAGTGATTTTTTTCTTTTTATTGTTGTTCATTTCGTTTCTCCACCCCTTTCCCTGGCTCCTGGCACCTGTACCTCGGGACTCTCCTCTCGGAGAATTAAAAAAAAGTAAAATGACAAAAGTACAAAAAAAAAAAAAGGAAAATGAAACAAACAAAATCAAACTCTTACAGACAAGGCGAGCCACCCACACGGCTGCTTCCCCAGCCGGAGCCGAGCCCCGGGAAGGGGCAGGCCGACCCAGGGAGCCGCGCTCGGATGCCCCGCCTCCCCCCTCTTCCAGGGACCATTCCAGCTGGTGCAGAGGGACGGGGCGCGTGGGGGCGGTGGGGGCGGCGGGGGGGGGGGACGGACGGGCGCACGGCCCCCCTCCCTGGCAGCACCCACGACTTTGACATGCGTCTGTTCCTTTGCTTTTTTTCTCTGCAAACACGTTCTCTCGCCCAGAGACCCTGGAGCGCACCGCTGAGCAGGGAGCATTTTAGCCAAGAAGCCATGGAGTGGGTTGGGGCGGGGAGGGGGGCGGGGGGGCACAGGAGGGGCAGTGGGGGGCGTGGGGGGGGTCCGGGGAGGGTTTAGCCACAGATGTGTTGTATTTTTTGAAAGTGCAATAACTTGGTATTTTGAAGACCCAGCATGTGGCCAGGACCCCCTGTGGAAGGCGGGGGCCCCAGGGTGCGGCAGCGTGTGGCGTGGGGGGGGTCTCAGTTTTCTAGCCAGCTACCTCGGTAACTCCAATTCAGGTTAACTTCCCTACGGAACAGCGCAGATGTCCACAGACACCACCACCACCACCACCACCAGCCCTCCTCAGGGGGCCGGGGCGGGCGGCCACTTCCCAGGGGGCAGCAGGGACTCCCGCCCCACCCTCTCCACGTGGGGTGGCTCCTACCCCCCTCTTGCTCTTGGGTTTTCCGACGGGTAGAGGCCTGCCTGGCCACCCCCCCCCCCAGGAGCCTCACTCTCGTCTTCCAACAGGACCAGGCTGAGGGCCACCCGTCAGCGACTCGCCCAGCCCCTGGGGGCACCCGGCTTTGGGGGGGGGGGGCCCTACCGCTGTCCCCGATGCCTCCAGGAACCCACGGCTGGGTGCCCGGCCCAGCGTCCTTGTTCTCTGGAGGCCGCGCTCGGTTCTCCCACCGCCTCTGCCCTCCGTTCTGTTCTGCTTTTTTTTCCTTGCTGTCCCCCAGCCCCGGAATAATTTCCTTTGTGCAAACAGCTCTTCTAGTCAGGAAGCAATACCGTTTCAGGTCTGAAGAAGAAAGGGACATCAATCTGGCCGAGGGCAAATTCAGTTTTACTGTATAAACTCGGCCGTGCAGCTCGGCCCCCCTCCGGCTGCACTGGCAGCTGAGGGCCGCGGTTTTCTAATATTTGTATTCTAATTTAATTGTTTTTTAAAAACGCAAATAAAAAAGGTCAAGGTGAAGCCACCGAGGCGTCCGCTTCTCTGTGCGTTGGGGCGCCGGCTGGGGGTGAGGGGATCGAGGGACGCAGGCTCCCCGTGGATGGTCCCCTCGGGCAGCATGGCGCTGGGGCTCCAAAAGGTGCAGCGTTCGGTCAAATGCGGAAGGTTTCGCTTTGCGCCGCCGGGCCCGCCGTGGTGTCTTTCTGCTAGGCTGGGCAAAGGAGCCGAGGCAGATCTGCCAGATCCAGGATTGTCCCCGCTCGCCTGGGGAGCCGCTGAGCTGGTGGGAGGGACCTCGGACCACAGCCCGGAGAACCCAGCGGAGCCGCCGGGCCGGGGGCCTGCAGTCAGACAGTAGCAAGTGTCGGCGAGGATGCGGAGGGGCTGGAACCCTCACGAGGGCTGGCGCCCTGGAGGACAGGACACCAGGTCCTCCCCCAGGTGAGACACGGGGCGACCACGGGACGGCCACCCCTGTCCTAGGTTAGTGAGCCAAGCTCACGTACAAACCTGCACACGCATGGGCACAGCAGCCAGAAGGCGGAAACGGAAACAGCCCCGTGTCCGGCGACAGGCAGACGGATAAAGGAAAGGGTGTCCACCGCGTGCAGGCACATCCCACGACCGCGAGCAGGAGCGAGGGGCCCCCACGCGCTGCCCCGGGGCCGGACCCCGAGCCCACGACGCTCAGGGAGGGAACCAGGCACAGACGGCCACACGGGGTGTGAGTCCACGTGGTGACACGTCCACGGACGGGAAGGGGGCTCGCGGGACAGTGTGTGGGGGTGACTACTAACAGGGATGGGTTTCTGGGGGGATGGAATGTTCTGAAACCAGACAGGGGTGGGTTCCTGGAATAGGCTGCAGGATGAGTCTTGTGTGAGTACTATTTCAGTTAAAAACAAGACTCCTCCCTCCTAGCAGGGGTAGGGGCGACACAGGGCACGTGGGAAGAGGCCCTGGTGGGCCGGTGGCTGCCTCAGGCCGCCGGCCCCACCCCCACTCTGCCTGCGTCTGTCCCCACGGGACCCCGAATCCCTCCCCGAGCCCTCGCTGGTGCTCTCCCAGGCTGTGGCATGGCCATCCCGCCCCTCGGTCCCCTCCATCACCCACCCCCCACTCCCCACTCGGGGCCCTGAAAGTGGCCACGTTTGGTAACCCCAACCCGGACGTGGAGGCTGCAGTCCGGGACCCCTCGTCGTGGGTGGGCAACGGCCCCCCTTCCTCCTGGGGGCGATGTCAGGGGAGCGGCCAGCGCCGATCCTTGATCATGTCATGGGGCCCAACGTGGGGCCGCACCCGGGGACCTCCAACAGACTTGGGGCTCCCCAACCAGACGCCCCGCCCCCGGCCTCCAGAAACCCTGGAGCTGGAGGTGACCGAGAAGCCTGTCGGGCCAGTTCTCCCTGCCCGCCCCTGGGGGCCCCTTCCTGGTGCCACCTGCCCAAGCCGGGGCATAGGGGCCCCGGGCCTGCCAATGCTGGGGACCCCCACCCAGCCCGGGAGCCCAGAGGCCAGCTCCCACACTGCCTCCCAGGCCTGGCAGGACGGGTCAGGCTGAGCATGGGGCCCCAACTGGTGTGGGCGCTTAAGAGCCAGACCCTTGGTGAAGGGGCCCCCCGGGCCCTCCGTCCCCGCTCCCCAGCCTCCCCCCCCACCCACCGAACAAAACACAAAGAACATCAAAATCAGGCAAATGAGGCAGCAGCATTCGTAACAGGCTGCGTTTAGTGGTTTTTTATGTACAAGAAAAATGATTTTTTTTTGTCTGGTTTTTCATCTTTTGTCTTTTTGTTTTTTTTTTTTTATTACTTTTAAAGCTTCTCCCCCCCACCCCCAAAAAGTGCATTTTTATCAATTGATTTTTTTTTTAAATCTCCCACACTTTTATAAAGACTCTCAAATACAGTCTATGGAATGTCTGCTCTGTGCTCTGTGCCCCGGGGCGCCGCCCCTGCCCCCCATTCACCAGGCCCGGCCCCCCCAAAGTCCAAGGCACCTCGTATCCGGGCCTGGGCGGGGCAGGGGGGAACCTGGGTATCTGAACCCCTGGCCGCGGCCTCCAGGCAGCCTCAACTCCGGGACGGGGGTCTCCCCGGCCCCCTCCATCTCCTGGCCCTGCCCGCCCACCCCCCATGTAAATCTATGTATTTAGTGCGAGCTAGTCTTAACTCTGAGGTTATGGTTCCCGGGGCACCTGAGCCCCCAGGCCCTGACCCGTCCTACGCCAGCCACCCCTCCAGGAAGGCTGCTTCCTCAGCTTAAATAACTTTTTAAAATAAAACTGCAAATATAAATATCTTTCTTTCTCAAAAAATAGGATTTTTGCTTTTTTTTGTTGGTTTTAAAATTTTTTGTCCTGCTTCTCCTTTCACTCTGTCTGGCCTCCTACAATCCCGGCTGCCTGGACTGCCTCGGTCCTGGGGGGGGGGGGGTCCCCGGGCCCCGGCCCCTGTCTCGGTCCCACCGCGTGCCACACGTCCGCCACTGCCCCCCCCACCCCCGACTCCGGCCACCTGTCAAAGGGTCTCAGTAGTGCAAAGACTCCCCAGAGGGCCCTGGAAGGGACTGACTGCGGGACCCTCCCCTCCCACCTGAGACCCCCTCCCCCCGGAAGGAAGCAAAGGGACAGCCATGTACAAACGGAAACGGGATGAGATGGCCACATGGGGTCTCCTGGGCAAGCCACCCAACGGGGGCAGACTTTGGTACGGCCTGCTGGAGCCCCGGCTGGGCGCAGGCCCACACCTGCGCCAGGCTGGGCCTGCTCCGGCACTTTACATTCACTGGGTTTTAAGGTTTTGTGTGTGTGTGTGTGTGTGTGTGTGTGTGCGTGTGTGTGTGTGTGTGTGTGTGTGTGTGTGTGTGTGGTTGTTTTTTTTTTTCTTAATCTCAAAAGGCGGGGTCAGGGTTGGGGTGGGGGGCTAGGCAGGGAGGAGTAGCAAGGGTGTTAACCTCTCTCTCCCAGGTCCTGCAGGCCGGTGGACAGCTCGGGGGAGGGGGGCCTCCGCCACCCCAACCCCGAGCGCCCCCCAGAGCCCCCCAACCCGGAGCCCCAGGCCGGGACCTCACTCTTGCACACGCGCGCACAACACACATCCACGCAACTTCACCAAGATGATGGAAATAACAATTTCGCTTTGTTTTTCTTTTCTTTTTTTTTTTTTTTTTGTACCAGGCAGTTAAAAAAAAAAAAAACACCCCAAAAAAAGAAAACACAAAAAAACCCCAAACAACCAAACAAAAAAACGTTTTGCTGTGTCCCTTCTGACCAGTCAGCACGTTCCCCCTCAAATATTTTTTGTTTGTTTGTTTCCTGAAACGCGAGAATTCAGCAGTATCTTTGGCAACACTTTATCACGACCTTAATTTAAAGAATAAAAATAAAATCGATCCACGTCTATATACAGTATGTGATTGCGCAGAGTTGGGGGGGCTGGGGTCCCAGCGCTGGGCCCATGCAGACGCTGCGGCCCTAGGACGGGCTGGCGGGCAGCAGGAGAGGGGTTAAGGCGGAGTGGGTGGGCAGGGCTGTCAGAAGCTGAGCTCAGAGCTAGGGGCAGGGGTTTAGTGCAATTCCCGAGGAAGTTTGTGTTAAAAGTGTGCTCGGCGGGGGTTCAGCCCTTGCCCCCGTCATAGTCCCAGAGGCCTCAATCCCCCAAGTCCAGTCGCCCCCACTGGCCAGGACGACAGCTGTGATTTTTCAGTTGGTTTTATTGCGAGGGGGTATACGGGTAGGGTGGGGGAGGGGGGAGAGGGCTGTCCCCTCAGGGAACCTCTCAGCTGGGGTTGGGGTGGGGGGGGAGGTCCCTGGCCTGGGCGCCCGAGCTCTCTGCTTGGCCTCCACAGATGGTTCTCTGAAAGAGCTCACTCCGTGACACCGGGGTGTGAGCAAGGCCACCCGGCCCTGGGCTCCCCTGCCACCCCCCCTCAGGAGGGGGGGTCCTGAGACATTTGGGGGGCTGACGGGCTCGGGGGTGGGGTGGGACACGAAAACTATCCTGTAGAAACAATGATGAAAGTTGCCTTCTTAAAAAGCTTCCCTTTAAAAAAAAAAAAAAGAAAGAAAAAGAAGACGAGAAGACGGAGTCTGTGTCACAGAGCAAAGGGGCGCGGAGAGACGGGCCAGCAGCTGGAGGGGGGGGAGCAGGGGCACCCCTCACCTTGGGCTTTGATGGGGAAGGGTCTCGGCTTGGCAGGGCGTCTATTTACAGGGTCCCACGCTAGGCATTGCATATGCGAGAGGGCGTTGGGGTGAGGGTGCCCTGGCCTCTGGCAACACGGTCCCCCCAGCCCTGGCCCCCTGTCCGTGGCCTGTGGCTCGGTCAATACCGGGCCTTTGGGGAGCCAGAGGCTGGGGGGAGGCAGGTGCCAGCCCCCAGATTACAGTCAGTGCCTTTGAATAAAAAGAGGGGTGGCTTGGGGGGGGGGGGTAAGGCCCTGGAGGTGGGGCCCCGTCACCCACCTCGACGGGGATGGCATGTCCAAGATGGCGGCTCCTTGGTGGCCACAAGGAAAAGCGGCCATGCTGGAGGGCGGGGAGCCCCGAAGTGGGCAAGGGATGAGGGCAGGGGCGGCAGGGAGGGGGCGTGGGGCTGGGGGCTGGGCTGCTCCGGCTGGTCGGAAGGCCAGCCCTCTCTCGGGCCCGTCCCTGAGCTGGGGAGTCAGTAAGGAAGGTCCCCGCGGACACGGGTCGGCCACTGTGTGGCTGGCGGGTGATGAGACATCTCCAAATCAGAACCAAAAAGGGACAGGAGTGGGGTGGGGGGTGGGGGGTGGGGGGGACACGGCAGAAACACAAAAACCCCACGGTCCTGCCTGCAGGGCAGGCCCCCGTGGCAAAGCACGAAGACCACCTCAGAAGACCTCGCCCCCGTGCCTTCCTGACCCCCTCCTCACCTCGGGGAACAGAAGTGGATTCTGCGTCTGTGGTGGGTTTTTTTTTTTATTATTTTGTACAAAAATAAATTGACTTTTAGGAATTTCTTTTTGCTCTCTCGCTCGCTCGCTCTCTCTCGCTCTCTCTCTTTTATTTATTTTTTTTGTCTTTTCGACTTTTCATAGAAGTTGGTTGTAACTTGTAAACATGTTTTTAAATTAAGAATTAAGATAAAGTGTAGTACCCGTTCTGTTACAAAGTGCCAAGACTTCTATTTGTGGTTGGTTGTCTTTTTTTTTTGTTGTTTTTTTGTTTTTTTGTTTTTTTTCCTTTCATTTTGTAAAATCTTGTTTTTATTGCTTTTGTGACACTGGAACTTCTGGACTCTCTCCCCTCCTCCCTGCCACCATGAGACCCTGGGCTCCCTCTGCTCTGGGCTCGTCCACCCCACACTGTTGCCTGCTCCTCTGAGGAAAGTATATTTTATATATATATATCTATATATATCTATATATAAATTTTGTTTTTAAGGAGGAAAAGAAAAAAAATCTAAAAAGTGCTTTAAAAACTTGGGAGAGGGCAGGGGCAGGGGAGGGCGAAGACAAAAAAGTTTTGAATCTCCAAACGTCTCGTGGGGTCTGGGCAGCCTGGGTCAGGGAGCGCGGCTGGGCGGCGGGGGGGGAGCGGGGCGCCCTGAGCAGCGGTCCGGGGTAGGGGTCCGCCGGGGTGTAAGTGCCGTGAAGGGAGGCGGCGGCAGCCCCTGGGAGCCGCCCTGCCCCCCCCCCGCCGCCGCCCTGCCCCCCCCCGCCCCCCGCCCCCCTCTCTCCAGGCCTGGAAATAAATAGATTTGTGTCCCATCGGCCAGGAGACACAGAGGACCACAGGCAGGAACGGGAGGAGGGGAGGCCATCGGGGAGATGGAGGGGGGGAGACCCCCACTTAGTAAGTGCCCTGAGGAAGGAGGGTGGGGGTGGGGACAGGGTGCATTTTAACGTCCGCTCACAGCGGACAGAGATCGTTTAAGGTCCTGTCTGAAAGACTCCTAGAAACCAGCGAGGGGATGAAAACAAAAGCCCGCCCCCACCCCCAGCCCCCCGTGGCCACCCTCACCCCCACCAGGGGCCTGGGGCCCTGACCAGGCCTCAGAGGGGACCCCAGGCTCCATGCCGGGGGATGTCCAGGGGGCCTCCGAATCTCTATGTCCCACAAAAACCCCAAACCGAGCCCCGAAACCCATCGACGGGGTGGGGGGGGGGACGGGGAGCCGGAGCAGGGGCGAGGGTCCCCGTGGAGGGAGAGAACATCATGAAGGAGAAAAATCTGAGAAAAGCACTACCCTAGATTCTGTGACGCCTCATATATATATCTGTATATATATATATAGATATCTGTATATAGATAGATTTTCTTTTTTTGTGTTTTTTGGGGGGTGGTGGGTGATTTTCTCTCTGTCTCTCTCTCTCTCTCTCTCTCTCTCTCTCTCTCTCTCGGGTTTCTGTTTTCTCTTTTTGGTTTTCAGGCAAGTCCGGCCGCGAAGCTGCCATCGGCGGTGGGCCCGGCGCCCCCGCCGCCTCCCCCTCCGCCGGCGCCCGCTACATTCAACCTGCTCAGGCCGTCGGGGCTGGCCGCCTCCTCGTCCTCCTCCTCGTCCTTAAAGTGCTTCTCCTGGCCGTTGCGCCGGGCGTCGGGGGAGCCGGGCGGGGCCGGGGCGCCGGGCGGCGCGGCGGCCCCCGGGGAGGGGTCGGGCCCCCCGAGCCCCCCGCCCCGCACGCGGGGCTTGCGGCCGCGGCGCGAGGGAACGCCGTTGCAGCCGTCCTTCTTGAGGTGTCTGTGCAGGTGGTCGGAGCGGACGAAGGTCTTACAGCAGCTGTCACACTGGTAGGGGCGCAGGCCCGTGTGCACGCGCATGTGGTTCTTCAGGTCGTAGTTGTGCGCGAAGGCCGCCCCGCACTGCTGGCACAGGTACGGCTTCTCGCCCGTGTGCTTCCTCATGTGCACCTTGAGCTTGTCCTGCCTGTGGGGGGGGGGGCGACGGGTCAGTGGGCACCGCCTGGGGGCCCCCCAGCCGCCCCCGCACTGGCCCGGAGTTGGAGAGGGCTGGGGCAGGCGGGCTGGGGCTGGGGGACGTCGGCGCCCGAGCAGGGACAGTCCTGGGCATTATGGTGCAGGGGGGGGGGGGGGGGTGCACCGAGGGCCCACGGGGACTGAGAAAGGCCTCGCACCCCACTTGCTGTGTGGTCTCGTGCAAATGACTGAACCTCTCTGAACCCCTTTTCTTATCCACAGGAGGACGACGATAAGGGCCTTCCCTCCTGGGGCATTTATGGAGTGCCTGCTGAGTACCAGGCTCTATTCCAGGGGCTGAAATACACTACAGGGCACAAGGCAGGATGCTGGGGGCGGGGGAGGGGGGTCTGGTAAAAGAGGATGGCCAGCTGTCCTGGTTTTTAACACTGAAAGTCCTGCATCCCGGGGCGGCAAGTCTCCACCCCGCTGCCCCCAGTGCCTGTCAACTCTCCCAGCACCTCCGCCGCTCTCTGCTCTGGCCACACTGGCTTCCTAGCTGTCACCGCAACATGCTAAGCACGCGCCTACCTCAGGACCTTTGCACATGCTCTTCCTGCTGCCTGGAGCACTTTCTTCCCAGATCTTCATATCTGAATTCCAGCTCTACCGGCACTTCCTCGGAGAGGCCACTCCCCGCTGCTACAGCCTAACCCCACCCCATGTCCCTCATACCACCACCATCGACTCTTCATCTGTGTGCGGGTTTCCTTGTTCCTCCTCTGTCTGCCTGACTGGATTGTGACCCCCAAGACAGCAGGGTCTGCGTGATTCCGGGACCCCTCTCTGCCCATCTTGCCCCATAGGGAACAGCATGGACCCCGCTCAGCCGGGGGCCTTTTGGCCCACAAAGCTGGTCAGCGTCTCAGCCCAAAGCAACTACAGGCCGGCTGCTGCTCAGTCGCCCACAGCAGCTACTGCTCACACGTGGCCCCGAGCCCTTGAAATGTGGCCCGACCCAACTGAGATGCGCTAGAAGTGCAAAAGGCACCCCAGATCCTGAAGGCTTCATCTGCTTAATGTAATGCAAAAAAAAGCTCATTTATGATTTGGCACATTGGCTACATGTTAAATGTAAAAAAAAAAAAAAAAAAAGGATGTAAAATACGATTCAAATTACTTTCACCTGTTCCTTTTACTTTTTAAAAATGCGGCTATCAGAAAATGTAAAATCACAGAGGTGACTCACATGATGCTTTACTGCACTGTGTTGGTCTACAGTCACAGGAGAGGACTCCTGCCTGGACCCACCAGCAGGGGCAGAGACACCTGGGTCTCAGGAGCGCTGGCCAGCATCTGACCCACTCCTCGCTGCGGCCTCTTGCACCCTACGTACGAGATGCCCTGGGTCTCTCACTTTTCAGACGCCCCAGACTGGTCAGTGCCAGGACTGACAAACTCCTATTCATCCTTCAAAGCCCCATATCAATTGCCCTCCTCCTCCAGGAAGCCTTTCCCACCCCTCAGACAAAGACTCGGTCTCCCCTAGGCTCGTCTAGCCCCAGGTCCCTCCCTCTGGAATCACTCACACAGCTGGTGTCCTTACCTGCTCTAACGCTTTCTCGACTCCTTACTGCTCTGAGGGTCAAGGCCTGGCCCTCTGCAACCACACCCCTGCCCATTCTCCAGCCTTATTTCTTCTATGTGCGTCAGAAGAACTCAGGCCACAGTGAACTCATCGTTCCCCAGACTGACCGGGTCTGTCAGCAGTGAGGGGACGCAACTGCCAAGCTCCTCTCCTCTCACCCCCTCTAAGTCCACTAACGTGGTCCTCCAGCTGCCTTGCCCAGGTCCCAGCCCGGGGCCAGGTCCAGAGGGGACAGTAGAGGCTCGGACTGTTCGAGCAGTGTGCAGAAATCTCCCCAGGTGAGACTCAGAGGCTCAGAGAGGGAAAGTGGCCTGCCCCAAGTTGCACAGTGGGTCAGGGGCCGCACGGTGGTGGGGTGGGGGTGGAAGCAGCCTGTTTCGTCACCCCAAGCCCTGGTCTGGGTAATTATAGCCCCGGCTGCCACAGGTCCCGCTTACTCAACTCTCTAGTGTGACTCAGAGGGGCCCCTGGGCTCCCTGGCCTGGAGGAAGGCGTGGGGGCCGGGGCCCTGGGCTGGGGGCAAAGAGGAGCCGGGTGGGCACATGGGGGCAAGAGGCGTAGCCCGGTGGCCCTCTCCCTGACTCAGTTTCCCTGACTGGCAAACAGGGTCAGCCCGAGGCAGGGGGGGGGTGGCCAAGAGAACAGCAGGTCGGAATGAAACCGCCTCCGGCCTGTGCTTAGGGGTGCTGGGGCGAGCGGGGGGGGGGGGCTCCAGGCCTCTGCTCAGCCTGGTCACCTCTCCAGACCGTGGCTTGCTGGGCCTCTGTCAGGCTGCCCCTCCTGGGCCCAGAGACCCCTGCGGGCAGGGCCCACAGCCACCTTAGGACTCCTGTCTGGAGGAAGAGGCAGGCCCCAAGACTACCAGCACCCCAATCTTACCGAAGGGGCGGGAGCTGGGCCACCAACTAGACTGCCTCCCTCCCAGCTGGCACCCTTTGCCCCTCGCCTGGGCTCCTGGGCCCTGCGGTCTGGGCCACACCCTCTTCTCCTGGCCTGCTGGGGAGGGGGCCAGGGGTCGGCCCCTAGGTCCTGTCCCCATGGGGCAGGGCCGGGAAGCTGGGACAATGGCCTCTTTCTTCAGCCTGGGTGGGCGTGGCTGGGGGAACCCCAGGGCGGGTGGGGGTAGGGGGTGATGCTGAGTCACCCAGCCTGGCCAGGCCCCTGCACGCCAGCCCCCCACCCCCACTGGGCTGGCCCACGAGGCCCAACCAGCCAGCTCTGGACTCTTAAGATCCAACCACAAATTCCCTTAGCCTGGCCTCCAACTCCTCCTGCCTAGAGACCAAGCCCAGTGGCTCCTAGGCCCGTTTCCCTCCACGGGCTGTGGCGACCCCCAAGCTCCACTGGCCTCAGGGCCTTTGCACTAGCTGTTCACTTGGCCTTCCCCTTGCCTCCTCGGGGTCTCAGCTCTCTGTTTAAAACAGCTGCCGCCCCCCAACCTTGTTCTCTGCAGCTCTGCCAACTCGCGTTACCAATTCCGTGGTTTCTGATCTCAGATGCGCCCCATCGCCCCCACAGGGTCTCTAGTGTGTCTCTGCACTTCTGGGTCCCCGCTGCCTAGAACAGGGCCCGGCACCCAGCAGGTGCTCCATAAGTGCTGGCTGAAGACAGCGAGTCCTCAGGGCTCCCGGGGGACTCAAGGAGATCACACGGGCTCCCCGCGCCCCACGGGGCAGCCACCCTCTCCCAAGGCAAACATCTGCCTCCAGCGCAGTCGAGAAGAACCACCCCCCCGGAAAAAGAAGAGCGACTCCCTGCGCCTTCCCTCAAGCCTCGTGTGGTTCGGCCCCGCCGCCCGCACGCTCACCCTGGTGAGGGCCTGAGCTCTCCCCCCAGCCGAAGGCTGGTCCCGAGGGGTGCAGGGGAGGCAGGCGCCCAGAAACGGAGGAGGCACCCTTCCAGGCAGGACAGCGCCGCTCCTGCGCGCGCAGGTGGTGTATGTGTGTGGCGGGGGAGGGGTCCACACGTGGCTGCAGTTGAAGCAAAGGGCCCCCGCCGCCCCCGCCGCCCCCGCCGCGGTGCCGCCGGCTCACCTGGTGAAGCGGACCTTGCAGATGTTGCACTCGTAGGGCTTCTCCCCGGTGTGGGTCCGGATGTGCCGCGGCAGCTTGCCGGCGCCCTGGATGACCTTCTCGCAGATGGGGCACTTCTGGAAGGCCTTGGCCCGGATCTTCTTTTCCACCTTCTGCGACCAGGCCGGGTAAACATCCCCATCGTGGGCGCCGCTGAAGTACTTCAGGTAGTAGTCCACGACGCCCTTGTCGTCCGCCCGCGACTCGTCGTCACTGTCCCCCGCCGCCGCCGCCCCCGCCCGGCCCACCGATGACATCATCTGCTGCAGCAACGTGCTGGCCGCCAGCCCGTCCGCGTCGGGCCCGTCCCCGTCCCCATCCTCGGCCGCACCCGACAGGAAGCCCGGAGAGTCGCCCGGCTCGGGGGCTGCCTCCGACAGCGAGGCTGCCTCCTCCTCCCCACCCCGGCCGTAGTGGCCATTCTGCGTGGCGGTGGCCGGCGGGGCCACAGGGGGCGGGAAGAGGCCCCCGGCTGGGGCGTCCTCGTCCCGCTCTGGCCACAGACCTGGGTTGCTGTCGCCCTCGTCCCCATCCCCGGCCGAGGGCCGATCGGCCGGTGGTCCCGGTCCGTAGAAGTCCAAGCCATTGCAGTCGCCGGCGGCCACGGCAGCCACGGCCGCGGCCACGGCCTCCTTGGTGGCATCCAGGTCGTCGTCGGACGCGCCGAAGGCAGACCAGGGGAAGGCGGCGGCGGCGGCGGCGGCGGCGGCGGCAGGGGGCAGGCTGTTCATGGGGTTGCTCTGGAAGAACTCGAGGTACTCCTTGGCCCGGAGGAGGTTCCGCTGGTCGGTCTGATCTACGAGGTCCAGTTGCCCGGCGTCGGCGCCCGCGTCGGCCGCCAGGATCTGCCGGTCAAGGAGGTCGGCGCAGACATGGCTCACGGCGGGGATCTCGAGCAGGCGGGCGGCGCTGAGGATGTCGCCCACGTTGGCCGTGCTGACGGTGAGCGTGGCCGTGTAGGCGAAGTCCATGAGAGCCGTGAGCGCCTCGGCACTGACGAAGTCGATCTCGTACACGTTCTGCTGGTCCACCACGGCGCCCGACGTGAACAGCTTCTTGAAGTACTGGCTGCAGGCGGCCAGCACGGAGCGGTGCGTGGGGAACTCTCGGCCCTCCACCAGGATCACCACGTCGCACAGCAGGCCCTGCGTCCGCTGCTCGTTGAGTCCGCTCAGGATGTCGCTGCTGTGGTCAGGGAACGGGATCCCGATGGGGCCATCCACGCCGCCGGCCATCTTCCGCGCCGAGACCTGCAGCGCCAGGGAGGGAGGGGGTGCCGGTGAGGGACGCCGGCCGGGGCCGGAGACCCTCGGAAAGGAGCGCCCCGCCCCCAGCCTCAGTTTCCCAGCTGGGCGCCAGTTCCGTGTCATCCGTTGGCAAAACCCACGCCGGGTGCTTCAGAGACGGACCCTGGCGCCCTCTCCTCCACTAGAGGGCCCACTGCACTACTCGTCCAAGGGCTGAGCTGAGGTGGGATGAGCACACAGTAGGTGCTCAACCAATGCCTCACGTGACTTGCTTCCTAACGCGTCCGAGCGCTGGCTTCCGCCCACAGCCTCCCAGGAGGCAGGGACCCAAGGCACCCACTGTGTGCCATCACACCCGAGCCCCCAGCAGGCCTCCGGGCAGCACCATCCCCACGGTGGGAGGCGAGAAACCAGGACTCAGGCAGGAGCTGTGCCAGCGGCCCTGCAGCTGCAGCCCAACTCAAATCTTGGCTGCATGACCTGAGGGTCTGTGTCCGCCTGGCCCCCTGGCCTCTCTGACCCTCACTCCTGCCTCCCAGTGAGGCCCGGTTCTCTTTGGGCTGGGGGGCTCTTGAGTCAGAGGGAAAGGGAGAAGCCGAGACCCAGACACCAGGCTGGGGTCAACCGGCCGTAGGCGTGCCCCGGAGGGGCAAAGCCAGCGACAACGGCACAACAAACCCCCTCCTGCCCCGGGGAGGCCCCACCGCGCAGTCTGGCCTTGGTCGAGTAATGGGGGAATGGCCTGACACTCCTTTTCCCGGCCCACCCAGGCTGAACCGCACAAAGGTGAAACAAGGGGGACAGGGGCTTCCTGTCCACCTCAGGCCCACCCAGCCCCTCCCCAACTCTTGGCGACCCTGGCCACTGCTGTTCCGGCCCAGGGCCTCAGTCTCCCCATCCGTCAAATGGACAGAGGCCTTTGGAAGAGCGGGCCATGGCGGGGGGCGGCATTCTGTCTGTCCTGCCCCTCTCCTCCACTCCTTTTTTCCGCCTTCCCCTGGGCTGTGACTCATCCACCCACCCGGGCGCTTGTGCAACCCTCTGGCTCCTGTCCCCACCCCTCCACCCTCTCTGGGGAGCACCCGGCTGCCCCAAGCCACCCAACACAACCCACATTCCTCTGGCTGGTCAGCTCTCAGGACAGAGCCCCCGGACATCTCCCGGTGCAGGGATGAAGCTGTGCCTTCCCTGGCCACCTCAGGAACCCCCAGCCCCCCGTGCGGAGCAGCCCAACACAGGTCGAAACCAGATCCCTCCTGCCTTGAGGGGCCAGCCTGGCAAAGGACCCCAGGGTTGGTATGGCCAGACCCAAGGCCAGGGCGGGACTGTCCCAACCCTGGGCCGCCCTGGGGCTGACACAGAGGCCTTTGTGCGGCCACCCAGGCACGTACTACACTTCCCAGGACGCCTCTCTCTGCAGCCCGCCCCCTTTCCCCGCTGACCACACCAGCTGCTCCGTTCCCCGCTCTGTTCCGCCAGCCCGTTGGCGGGCGGGCGGGGGGGGGGGGGGGGGGCCAAAATGGGGCTGCGGGGGGCAGGAAGATGGGGGGCTGACCCCATCTGGGGCTCAGCCCCAGGAAGCCTCGGAGGAGCCCCTATGGCGGCTTCCACCCCCTGCCACCATCTGCTGTCTGGCCCCAGGCCCCAGGGAGCAAGTGGGCAGATGGGCTCCGGATCAGACTGGCCTCGGCCCTCCTCACCCCTTTCTGATCCGCCTCAAGATGGCCACCCTGGCCCTGCTCACCACTGTGCCCCCAGGTGCCTCGGCGTCCCCTTGGACCAAGGTGTCTCTGGGGGCCTCGAGGTCGGGACCTGAAATGGTTCAGATGATTCACCAGCCACCCCCCCACGGGCCGCTCCGCCTCCACCTTCCCACGGGCACTGAGGCCGCCGGGCAAGGGGGCTGGCACAGCCCTACATCAAGGCTGAAGATGCCGGGGCTCTCATTCGCTGGAAACCACCCAGCTGGGAAGGAGGCAAGCTTGGGCCTCAGACCTGGCATGCGGCACCGGACCAAGACTGGGGGTCTGCGCGGGGTCCGAGAGTTTCTCTTTCCCCACATAACCATAAGGGATCCTCCCCCAAAGGGCCCGGCCTGGGAAGATGGATGCCGGCCAAAGAACCCCCCCCCCCTCCCCGTGAGAGCAGCATGACCCCCACCGAGAGAAGAGAACACAAAGGCCCAGACACACTCGGAATCCTGGCCAAGGGCGCCCGGCGAGCCTGACCCGCAGGGTCTGGCCTCCCACCTCCCCGCTCCCCCCACCGGCTCAGCAAGCCGTCACCTCGTCCCTCACCCTGGAAACTAAACTGGCTCTGCAGACACCTGGCCCACACCCTCTCTCCAGGAACACATGCCACCTGCCCGCCACGCCCTGGGCCACTGCCCCCACCCAGGCCTCTTGCGGCCCTCCCTCTAAAGAGGCAGAAGACCGCATGAGACGGGAGGGAGGGCAGGGCGGCTGAGCCCCCCTGCTGGGTCAGGTGGGCTCGGGGCAATAAACAGCCCCGTCTGCAGAACACGCACTGTGCACCGCTCATCTTCTCACCGGGAGAGCCTTGTGGCTTCCCGTGCTCTAACAGGCCCGGCTGGCACCTGGCACCTAGCAGGTGCCCCCACACCAGGTGGTTTCCTTGGCAATGACAATCCAATGAAACTGCTCTCCTCTGGGAAGCCGCACCCCCACGCCGACCAGGTCCCCACCCTCAGCAGCAGGCCAGGGTCCCCGAGCTCAGGCCCACACCCACCCAGCCCATCTTTCATCAGAGCTCCGCCCCCGCGCTCGCCTCCGTGGGATTTCCGGGGCGCTGGGTGCTGACTCGGCGGCCGAGGGGCAGGCCTCAGCAGGCTCCTCCCGGGCTAGAGGTGGGGCACCCCTTCCCTCGGTGCTCGCCACCCCCACTGCCGCGGATGCACAGTAGGGGCGCAGCAAACCGGATGACCCGAAGACCACAGAGCTAGGCGCTGGAGAGAGCCCACACCCAGCCCCATCCACCTAGCTGGCGGGGTCCCCCCGGTCCCACCTCCCATCTAACCCGGGGTTGCTTGCTGCACTTTTTCCAAGGCAGCAGAACCCAAGCCGGTTTCGGCCCTTGTGGGGCCTCCTCTGTGCCCCGGACATTTCAGGAACTAATTGAGGAACGAACCAGGCATCTTGACTTCATCCTTCCCGCGGTAACCCTGGGCTTTACTAAAGACGAGGAGAGGCTCAGAGCAGTGAGCAGACCCGGGCAAGATCCCACAGCAGACCAGCGGCCAGGCTGGGACTCGGACTCTCGGACCCGAGCTGCAGCCACTCAAATGCTGGGGCCCCAGGGTAAGGTCACGAGTGCCTTCCTCTGGTCCCAGGAGTAGCAGGTGCCACCCAGGAAGGACCCCAGGATTGTGGGAAGGGCGTCCTGAGCATGGGCAACAGCAGAGGCCAAGGCCCGGAGGTGGGCGCCTGGGAGAGGGACAGGGAGAGGAGGCTGCATCTACCAGGCTTCCCAAGGTCAGGCGCAAGGTGAGGGCTGGGGCGGGCCTCCTCCTCCTCCTCCCTGCACTCCTCAGGAAGGAGAGGGGGCGGCCAGCACGGGGTGGGCAGGTAACTGCCACCTGACATCTTCCTGGAGGAGCGGGGTGCAGCCTAATGAGGGGTCAAGGCCTTTCCACCCCCCACCCACAGACAGTACGACAGGAAACCAAAGGGAACTCTGACACCTACTATGTGCCACACACAGCAGCCTGGGCCCTCATCCCGGCTCTTGCACTTCCAAGGCTAGGACACTGGGCAAGAGGCGGTGCCTCTCTGCCTTGGTCTCCTCAGAGGTCATGACAGCAGCAAGGGGACTGGGGCTGCTCTAGGCCCAGGGTCCCGCTCTCGCCCATTGGGCAAACTCCTCCTGGGGACCTACTGTGTGCCCGCACCGGTCCCCAAAGGCCCAATGAGGCTGTTTACTGTCCCCCTCCTTGTGCATGGGGCGTTCTGAACTTAACTTCTGAACGTTACTGCAGGAATTCAACCCCTTCCCCACCAACGAACGATGTGTCAGGGGAGCGTGTGGGGGGGGCCCCAGGAGGAAGCCAGGGGAGAGGAGCCGTCACCTGGAGGGGAAAACCAGGCCCAGAGAGGGTGGGTGGCCGGGCCAAGGTCACACAGCAAGTCTGGTGCCCAGGTGCGGTTGCCAGGCCCACGCCCAGCCGCCCCCGCCCCCTCACAGGCCAGCGGCCTGTGTTGCAAGGTTGGTCCCAACGGGTAACCCCGCCCTGACCTGGTGCCAATCCCTGCCTGGCCCGGTCCCCGGCCTGGGGTTTAATGGGACAGGAATGCAGCGTCCCAATTAGGGAGTGGGGGGCACCAACGGCCCGGCGTGGCTGCTGGGCTGCCAGCCCGCCTGTCCTCATGGGCCTCCCTCCAGGCCAGACACCAGCAAACAGGCCCTCGGCCATTTTATGTGTCCATTTATTGCCCTAAATGGGGAGGGGCTTCCTGCCCAGGCCTTAAAGGGCCAGAGGCAGGAAGGCTGCGGGCCCAGTGGGAAGTGTGTGTGCGGGGGGGGGGCGATGAGGAGGTCATGGGGATCCCATCTGACCCCCAACTCATGGGTGGGGCTGAGGCTCACCCTATTCCCACGCTCTTGAGTGCCGTCACGGGTCAGGAAGTAACAGCCCTGACACCAGCACTGGGTTCCAAGAGGAAGTCCAGGGAAGGGAGAAGCCGTTCATGGTGAGTTAGAAGGAATGAGCTTCCCATCACCTGGGGTAAGTAAAGCCAGGTTTCACAGAATCCCATCACTTCCTAGCCCGCCCCTGCTCAGGCTGCACCTGCTTGTACAAACTGCCCTAAGACGCCTGGGTGGCCTGTAGGAGCTGGACTCCTCTCTACCTCCAGACCCCGAGGCCTGCTTGTTACCAGGAGGTGCCTGCACCACCCCCACCCCTGTGCCCCGCCTGGGCAGCTGGAGAGGGCTCAGCCTGGACGCCCCAGAGGGGAGCTCAGCCCATCGGGGCCCTAGTGTCCTGTGCCCACAAACCCGCCAAGTTCCCTCCCATCAAACACATCCTGGTGGGAGGTGGGACGAGGCCTTGTTTTCCAGTTAAACCAGAAAGGCGTGGGTGGGGACACTTCCACTGAGTGGCCGTTCACAGCCTGCTGGGGGGACAGATGGAGCGGCTGGTCCTTTGGCCATGCTCCTCACAAGCGCCAGATTCTCCACAGGGCATCTTCCGTGCTTTGGTGCTCCCGCCTCAGGCCCCGAGGGGAGGGGCTGCTCCCCCACAGGCTCCAGGGCAGCAGGGCAGGGCAGGGCCGGGGGGGGGGGGGGGGGGGGGGGGGGGGGGGGGGGTGGCTGACGTCCTAACATCAAGCATTACAGGGTCTGTAATCATTGCCCCACTTTACAGGTCAGGAAACTGAGGCTCAAGAAAGGGTAAGGGACTTGCCCAGGGTCACACGACAGAGCTGAATTTTAACACAGACCCACTGGCTCTGTACTAACTGATCCTTCCAGGGCTCCATACCGCCCCCGCCACACACCACCCCTGGGGCACCAGCAAGGGACTAAATCCCCCTCCCCTGGGGGCCTTGGAGCTGAGGACAGCTTATTCTCATGCCCCCTCAGAGCTGCCTTGTGATAGCCCAGAAGAGGGAGAGGCTTGCCTGAGGTCACACAGGGCGCCTGGGGCAGGACCGGAGTCGGGCTGACATCTGTGAACTCGTGGCATCTGTGAACTCCGGGACAGGGGCCCCGGAGCCCTAGTCATCAGGACAGGGATGCAGCAGGGGCTCTCCCAGGCCCTGACCCAGCACGGCAGGGACCCAGCAAATGCTCCTTAGGGCTCCTGGGGAATGGCTGACCAAACCCTCAGGCCTACAGATTTGGGCTGACAGCAAGACTGAGGCTGACAAGAGGGGCAGTGACCTCCCCAGGTAGACCTCAGGTGGAGGAGAGGGCTGGGCTGAGGCTGGACCACACCGGCCCCCACCCAAGCCTGTTCCTCTGGTCCCCACTGCCCAGGGCTGTTGCGGGGTGGTTTATGGCCCATCAGGTGCCTGGAGCACAAGGTGACAGGTGCGGGTGCTGCGTGTCTCAAGTGGCTGGCCTGGCGACACACTCCAGCAGAATCCCGGTGGCGCCCTGAGTTGACCGGGGTGCTCCCTCCACGAGGCAGGGAAGGAACAGGAACACAGGTAGATCTTCAGGCACCACCCACAGAATACCCTATAACCCCATTTTACAAGGGGGGACACCCAGACTCCCAAAGGCCGAGGGGCTTGTCCAAGGTCACAGAGCAACTAGTGGGCCGTCATTCGAACCCCCCACAGGCCTCGGGCCAGCTCTGCTGCAGAGGGGCTGGCCCTGAGACTTGGCTTGTTCGAGGTGACCTCGGTCATCTCAGGTATAATGGGTCATAAAACCCAGAGAGCCCTGCCCGTCTCCAGGGGCCAAGGGGCCAAGGTGCCAAGGTGAGGGACTGTGGCTCAGAGGGGGTGGGAAAGGCCCCAGAAAGCCGTAAAAGTGCCTGCCACAGAAGGCTGGGAGGCGAGAGGACGGGCTCATGCTGTGTGACCTTGGGCACCTTGCTGGCCCTCTCTGAGTCTCTCTGTCCTCTTTGCGCAAAGGGTTTCATGAGCCTCAGGAAAGCTCCATTTGGCCTACAGGCGCCTGCTCTCGACCCCCAGGCCCTCTGGAAGACAGGTGGGTGGGCGCCCCTCAGCTGAGAGGAAGGAAGGAGTGGGCCTCGTCCCGAGCCAGGAGGCAGGACCACGATGGTCAGACCCAGCTCTAGCGTGGTGACCTTGGGCTGCTCTCTGCTTCCCCCTGGGCCTCGGTCTCCCCCCCACCCCCCGCCACGCCACCAGCTCCCCGGGTTGCTGTAAGCCCCGCGCCAGGCCAGGCTCCTCTCGCAGCCTTGGTTTCCTCGTAAGGCAATGGGGACTGCCACCAACCTGCGCCAGCAATAGATCAGAGGGCCCCAAGGAAGAGAAAGCAAGGAAAAAAGCAAACACAGGTACTTGCTACTGCCTCGGGAACCTTCCCCACTGGATGGAGGCTGAGCTCTGCCGGGCCTCAGTATCCCACACAGAGCGAAGGGTGCACCAGCGCTTGAGGCCACCCTAACCGCGGCTTCTCCCAGGGCCTGCGAGCGCTGAGAGTTTCGTGGCGCCCGGCCCGGGCCAGGGTGCTGACTGGCCACCACGCAGCCAATCAGAACTGAATAATAAATACCCCCCCAAAGTGACCCACGAATTAAAATTTCAGTGTCCCCGTTGGCTCCTCTTTCCTTCATTAGGCATGCGGATCCCAGGGCTTCGCTCTTCCAGTCACTGGCTCCTGCCCCCCCTTCTCCCCGAGGCTCCCGTCTCCACAGCGATGGCAGGCGGTAAACAGAGCCCCGAGCCCAGCCGACAAGTGCCAGGCCCGGTGTGCTCCAGGGGCCCCACGGGGAGGCGGGAGGGCGGGTGGCCCCCGGGGGGGGGGAATGCCCCCTGCCCGGAGCCGGCCACCGGGCAGCAACAGGGCCCAGCCTGGACTCCCCCAACCTCTCCCAAGAGCAGCTCTGCCAATAGGAAGTGATCAGCGGGTCCTGTCGAGGGCCCCCCAGTGTGGGAGCGGCACACTCAGGGTTACGCCCTGGCCCTGTTGTTGGGGGGGGGGGTGCTGACATGGAATCCCGGATGCCCTCTCCAGCCGGGCCTGCTCCCGGAGGCAGCTGGCAGGGAGGAGGGGGGAGTAAACCAAGCCCGCCACCCATGGGTGAACCAGGTGGGCACGCCCGGGGAAGGGGCACCAGCAGCTCTCTCACTTCCGCCGCCTGGCTAGGGCGAGAGAGACGAGTTGTCGGCCTCCCCCTGCCGCTCACTCAACTGCTGGCTACATTCCCCAAACATTTAGCGGGCGCCCACTGGGTGCCCCGGCCGCGTTGGACAGCAGTCTCTTGCTGCGGTCCACCCGGCTCCCCCGCAGCCAGCCAGCGCGGGCAGTGCCTCCCAGAACCCGCAAAGGCCTGTGCCTGGGGGTGCACCCAGCCCCAGCGCTCAGCTCAGGTCCCTGCCTGCTTCCCAGGCCTAGGGCTGGGGGAGGGGGCTGGTTCCCAAGCCAGGGAGGGAGGAAGAACGAGGGAGGGGGCCGGATCCCACCAGCTCACCCCCTCCTCTGCCGGGGCTCAGGGTTCGCACGTGGTGGTGGCGTCAAGGGGAAGGAGGGGGGTCCGAGCCAGAGGAGAAGGGGTCACGCGCTTTGGGGGCGCGGGCGGGGGGAGAGGGGTGCTCTCCACCCCCTCCCCGGGGGCCGGAGCCGCGCGGCCGCGCGGGCGGGGCAAGGGACCAGGCCGGTCCCCCCACCCAAGGCTGAGTCAGGCCCGGGCGGGGGCAGGAAGCGGCCCCCTCCCCCGCCCCGGCCGCAGCGCGCGGCCCCCGCCCCGGCCCGCGGGCCCCCGCCGCGCCGCCCGCGCGGGGGGCTCCTACCTCCTTCCCGGGGCAGCGGCAAGGGGGCCCGGCCCCGGCGGCGGCGGTGGCGGCGGCTGCGGCTGGGCTGGCTCCCTCCGAGGGGCCGGGAGGCGGCAGTGAGCCTGGCCCCGCGCCACCCCCCGCCGCCGGCGGCCAATCCCCACCCGGGCTGGGGGGAGGGCGATGCAAATTACCCCGGATCTGGGTCCGCCCGCCCGCCTCCCCCACGCCCGGGCCCGGCCTGCACTAGGCCGCGCATCCCCGGGCTCGCTTGCGCCGCGCGGCCGGTTGGGCCGCCGCCCTCCCCGGGGAGCGCCGGGTGGGTGACCCCCCCCCCAGGGCGGGGGGCCGAGGGGAGGGGGGCTGGGGACGGTTACACAACCAGGCGGGGAGGGGCCCCGGGGCGGGGAGGGGGCCGGCCCGTGGGCCGCGCAGCCGGAAGCCGGGGACCGCCACCGGCCCCCGGCGAGGGGAGCCCGGCTTCAGGCCCCGCCCCCGGGCCGGCTCGGCCCGCCCCCGCGCCGCGCCGCGCGATCGGTCCGCGCCCATTGGTTCGCCGGCCCGCCGCTCACCGCCCCTCCTCCGCACCGCCCCTACCCGCGGACCGCGGCGGGCCGCCGGCGCGAGGCACCCTGGGACTTGTAGTCCGAGCCGCCTGCCACCTGCCAACCGCAAGCGGCAGGGGGACTACGACGTCCAGAAGCCCCCGCGGCCGCGCCCGCCCACCAGGACACTCCACCCCTTCCCCCTCCTTTGCAAAGCCCCCCTCCCTGTTTTTTCAGCCCCCTCCCCCCATCCCCCATGGAGCTCAATCCTGGCCAACTCCAACGTATGCACGCAGCACCGAATAGGCCCCCGGGGGGCGAGAGCACCCCCAGTACCTAGCTGCAAACTTAGCACGCGACGCGCCCCCCTATCTCCCCACGCCGGTTTCCCCCACCCTCAATGCGGCCCCGCTTCCCCTCCCCCTCTCCCCGCGCGCCTGGGATCCCCGAAAAGCCATGCACCCGGGTGGGGGGGGGGCTGGGGCACAAGCCCGTGCACTTCGCCCCCAATCCCCCTTCCCGGGCGGCGCCCCCTCCCCGCGCTCGGGATCCAGGGCGCCTCCAGCCTCCCGGCAGCTGCCAACCACCCCCTCCTCTGAAACTTGCGGAACGTCCGCGGCTCCCCTGATCTCCCCTTCCCGAGAGGGCAGAGGTGGGCGCAGCGCCCCCGGCCCGTCCCCGCCCTGCACCCCGTGCGGGGGGCCGCGCCGGGCGCTGACTTACCTCGCGCGGCCGGGCCGGGGCCGGGCCGGGCCGGGGCGCGAGGGGCCGGGGCCCGGAGTTGGGACTGGGCTCCTCGGCCGCTTGCCTCCGGGGTCCGCGTCTCTCGCTCTCCGCCTCTCGCGCTCTCCCCTCGTCGCTCCCTCGCTCCGGCGGCGGCGGCGGCGTCACTGCCCCTACAGTAACTGTACAGTACAGCCAAAGCCCCGTATGATGCTCGCGACTCCCTTCCTGGTTTCTCCGAGGGCAAGAGGGGTCCTCCCTTGTCTTAAAGGTGCCGCAGCCGCCGGCCCCCCCCCACGCCCAGCCCGCCCCCCCCACCCTGGCCTCGGAGGCCAGAACAGGCTCGGCAGGTCCCCTCTTGCCACGTCTCTGCCCTCCCGTGGGGCTTCGCCCGCTGCGCCGGGGAGACCGGGCTGTTATTAGGTTTTGTCAAGTTGGGGGGGGTCCAGCCCGCCCCCGGCGCGCCCCCCCTCCTATGACCTCTCCGCCCCGCTGCGCGGCGCCGTGCCAGCTTGCCAGCTTATCTGGCCCCAGAGCTCCCCGGGGCGCGGGGGGAGCGGGCCCCCCGGGGTGGAGGGGGGGTGGGGGCCTCCAGATAAACAGGCCCCCAGCCTCTGCGCAGGGGCGGGCGCGGGGGGGCGCGGGCTTTGCCCCCGACGCCCGGGGCGTGGCAGGATGGCAGCGGGGGCGGGGAGGGCTGTGCGCGAGGACCGACGCGGGCGTGGGTCGCTGCGGCCGGGGCTGCTGGGGGTGGGTGGGGGGCGAGGGAGTGGGGACCCGGGCCAGGCGCCGGCCCTCCCCGGGCCTCAGTTTGCCCAGCCGCAGAGGGAACCCGGGGGCGGGTTTTCGAATGACGGCTTGGGTCCGCTGGGCTCCTGGGTCCCTAAATGAAGCAGCCAACCTGCCTGCCCGCGATTATATAAAAGAGTCGCCTCCGCCCGCTGCGCCAGGGGCGTAGCGGGGGAAGGGGTTGGCGAGGGGCGGGCTGGGCGGTTGTTTTCCCGGCTCTCCGAGTTCCCCCACCCAACTGCGGGCCGCTGGGCTGGACGGGGACCGGGCCCCGGACGTTTGGGTCCTGTGGGCCGCTCTCGCCAGGGTCTGCGTGGCTCCGGAGGGGCAGCGATGGGGAGTGGGGAGGCGTTGGCTCAACCCAACTTTTTTCCCTGTCCATTTCTCCCACTTCCTCCCCGGTCGTGGGAGAGGTCCGGCGGGGGACGGGGGAGGGGGAGGAGGGGACGAGCGGTGAGAACAGCCTGACCCGGCCCGGCCGGCTGCCCGCTGCACACAGTAGGCGCCTGGGGAGGGCTGGCTGGTGCGACCCGCCGCGTGGGGTCTCTGGGCCTCAGTTTCCCCTTCCTCCTTCCCTTGGACGGAGAGGGCTGGCACCTGCTTAATAGCTGCCTTTCACTGAGCGCTTCTCGAGTGGCTGGCTCTGTCCGGGGTCCTGTTTACCTCCATTCTAACATCTAATCTCATTATACTCATTTATTGCTATTATCATTACCACCATTACCTTACAGGCAGGAAACTTGGGTGAAGTGGACTCAGTCTGTCCTTCTCTGACTTCAAAGCTTCCCACCGCCCCTTGTACTTTATTACTTCTACGCACAACATATTAAAGGCGCCTTTCAACTCCCAAACGGGTTGAATCGGCTTTTGTAATAATAATTTGGCTTCAAGGGGAAACCCGGGAGGCCCCCAGAGGGGAAGTGACAGCCCCAGGACTTGCAGCCTGAAACCAGCCCCTAATAGGTGGGAAGGGACCGAGGGAGGGGCCACGAAGGTCCCGGGTGAGGGTGGAACCCAGGGACTTTGCTCTAACGACCCTGCCTGGGACGTAAGCCCTTCTTCCTTCCTTAAACCACCCTGCCATCAGCCTTGGGATTAGAAGGGCCAAGCAGAAAGACACTTTGCAGGTCTCAGGGTTGTGCCTGGACTCCGGCAGATAACTAATGCTCTGTCCTTACTCCTCAAGGGTCTCACCGCCCCCCACCTCACCCCAAGCTCCACCCACTCAGCCAGTACTCAGTTTCCCCTCCTGTACCACCCAGTCTCAAATATCCCGCACCCTTTCTCTACAGCTGAGAACCTAATTCAGAAGCGGACGGGAATGCATATAGAAGATTGGCATTGAATCTAATCCTCAACACGCCCTGAAAAGAAGCAGGCCATTTTATATATGAGCAAACTGAGGCCCAGAGAGGGACCATGAGCAAGGATGTCAAAGGCAGCGTTCACCTGGCTCTGGATCCTGCCAGAAGGGCTGGGGGTGGGTCCTTCAGGATATGCCAGGATGGCAGACCCCTACCTCCCAGGAGCTCACTCCTGTCCCTGATATGAAAATAATGAGGGAGGCAAAGCTTTGTCCTGACCCCCATTCCTCCGTCGCTACCCCCCCAAATACCCAAGTAGATACTATTTTAAAAGCTAATAAGGTTATAAAAGATTGAGTTACTGTGTGACCTTGGGCAGATTACTTAACTTCTCTGATCCGCAAGAGTCCATTGCAGAGTATAATGATAGAGACTTCCTAGGGTACTAACAAGGGAGACAATAGGTGGTACATATAACATTCTTTTTAAAAAAAAAATTATTTATTTGAGAGAGAGGCAGAGATAGAGAGAGAGAGAGAAGGAGACTCCCCGCTGAGCAGAGAGCCCGACATGGGGCTCGATCCCAGGACCCTGAGATCATGACCCGAGCCGAAGGCAGACACTTAACCAACCGAGCCACCTAGGTACCCTACATAAAACAGCACAGTAGGGCAGGAGAGAAGTCCTCCATAGGCGCTAGATGTTATTATATTGATGTTATTTCTACTGTTTGGGCCATACCCCTGCTCCTGTTCCTGGCCAGGGCAGCAATGAAACCCACATTTCAAAGATGAAAAGTTCACACACACACTCTGCATGTTTTACTTCATCGGCAGACCCCCATAAGTTGCTCGGCAAAAGGGTTCTCGGGGTATGTCAAGACCAGCTCCATCTTAGCAATAAAACAGCATGAAAATCAACAAATATTTGGCACTTGCCTCGGAACAAATTTGTTCCGGGGCAAGTAGTAACATCAGCTCTGAATTTCTGAATTCCACCTTCGAATGCAACTTTAGTCCCTCTGTGTAGCAGGGATTATCATCCCTGATGGACAGGATGATGGTGCGGAGACGCAGAGAAGGCATATAACTTGCCAAAGACACACAGCAAGTGAATGGATGGACCTGAATTCGAGTTACGTTGGCGAGGCTGCAAATGTATATATTTCGAGCAGATAATTCTTGTCACCCTAAGCAGGGGTTGCTTCTGGGATGGAGAAACAGGGGGGATGGGGAGCAGGGTCAGAGACCCTCTGTTCACTGTCTTTGATCTTTTGAATTTTGCATCATGAAATTTTTTTTAAGTCACCTCTACACCCAACATGGGGCTTGAACTCACGATCCCGAGATCAAGAGTCACATGCTCTCCTGACTGAGCCGGCCAGGCACCACGATGCATATTTTATTTATAATGAAATTTAAAATACAGTCACATTTCTTAACTTCTGTGCTTCAGAGAATACCATCAAGAAAGTGAAAGAAAAACCCACGGAAGGAGAGAGAATATTTGCAAATCATAGCTATAAGGGTCTGCTGCTCAGAATATGTAAAGAAATTTTAAAACTAGCAATAAAAACAAAATAACCAATTGTTTGAAATGGGCAAAGGATTTTAATGGACATCTCTCCAAAAAAGATATACCAAAAAAAAAAAAAAAAAAGATACACACAAAAAAGTTGCTCAACATCATTAGTCATTAGGGAAATGCAAATCAAAACCACGATGAGACACCACCTCACCCCTGCTAGTATGCGCTGAATCAAAAAGGCAGACAATAGCAAGTGTTCGCGAGGATGGGGAGAGACTGGAGCCCTCCTGTCCTACTAGTGGGAAAGCACGATGATGCCACTGCCATGGGGTATAGGCCGGCACTTCTTCCCAAAGTTAAACCTGGCACCGTGTGTGTACCCGAGACAAATGACATCTGGTCTACACCGAAACATGGAGGTGCACATCCATAGCACCATTATTCATAACAGCCCCAAACTAAAAACAGTCCAAATGTCCATCACCTGATAGATGAATGCACACAACGCGTCCATCCACACGCTGGATATCAGCCCCGAACAGGAGCGAGGCGCCCACACGCGCTGCCCCGGGGACGGACCCCGAGCCCACGACGCTCAGGGAGGGAACCAGACACAGAAGGCCACACGGGGTGTGCGTCCACGTGGGTGACACGTCCGCGGACAGGAAGGGGGCTCGTGGGGCAGTGTGTGTGGGGGTGATTGCTAATGGGGACGTGTTTCCTTTAGGGGTGATAAAAATGTTCCAAGATTAGATTGTGGTGATGGTTGTACAACTTTAGAGTACACTGAAAACCACTGAATCATACACTTTAAAGAGTGAATGTTTTGGTACGTGGATGACATATATTTTATTTATTTATTTATTTTTAAAGATTTTATTTATTTATTTGAGAGAGAGAGAATGAGAGAGAGAGAGCACGAGAGGGAAGAGGGTCAGAGGGAGAAGCAGACTCCCCGCCGAGCAGGGAGCCCGATGCGGGACTCGATCCCGGGACTCCAGGATCATGACCTGAGCCGAAGGCAGTCGCTTAACCAACTGAGCCACCCAGGCACCCGACGTAAATTTTTAAAAAGCAAAGCAACGCAACACCCATATTCACAGCAGCATTTTTCACAACCGCTAAAATGTAGACGCGACCCAAATGTCCATCAGCAAAGGAATGGATAAACAAGAGGCGGCTCATTCATATACTGGAATATTACTCGGCCTGAAAAAGGAAGGACATTTGACACCTGCCACGACGCAGAGGGACCCCGAGGACACTGCTCAGTGAGAGGAGCCAGACCCAGAAGGACACATCCCGCAGGACCCCACTCCCAGGAGGTCCCCAGAGGAGTCCCGTCCCCACAGCCAGAGAGGAGAGGGTGGGAGCAGGGGCTGGGGCAGTGGGTGCGGAGTCCATGCTTCGTGGGGACAGAGTCTCCGTGTGGGGAGACGGAACGTTCTGGAGACGGAGGGTGGGGGTGGCTGCAGGACAGTGTGGGTGTGCTTCATGCCATTGACTTGTACAGGTAAAAATGGTTGAAATGGTCAATTTTCTTTTTTTTTTTAAGATTTCATTCATTTATTTGAGAAAGAGAGAATGAGAGACAGAGAGCATGAGAGGGAAGAGGGTCAGAGGGAGAAGCAAACTCCCCGCCGAGCAGGGAGCCTGACGCGGGACTCGATCCCTGGACTCCAGGATCATGACCTGAGCCGAAGGCAGTCGCCCAACCGACTGAGCCACCCAGGTGCCCGAAATGGTCAATTTTCCGCCATATATATTTTATCACGATAAAAAAGTAAAAAGAAAAATAAGTCGACCTGAAGGAAGATATGAGGGTGGCCATGTTCTGTCTGGTTCCAATGTCCCAGTGGATGGCACATCCCATTAGTATATAAGTGTGGTTGTTTAGGAATAAAATCCAATTTTTTTCTTCCAAAAAATTAGAATTAAAAATGGAAAGGTGCCCCCAAACAGTGTGAGGGGAAGATGTTAGCATTACTTTAAGCAGATAACTGCCCACCTTTATGTTCCCTCTGTCACACCCATGGCCGAGTGAGAACATCCAGCAGGGCGTGAGCGGCCTGCTGCGGATCTGGGGTGGGCATCCGGGGGGCACAGACGGAGACAGCAGTAGCAGAATGAAGACTGGATCTACTTTGAAGGTCAAGTCGAGAAGATTTGATGCTGCGTCAGATGTCAGGGGGATGGGAAGCAAAGGACCCAAAGGGCTTCTGGGGGCCACAGCACATTGGTTTGGGAAGACAGCAAGTGTGAGGCGTGAGCCATGACTCTGTTCTTCTTCTTCACAATGGAGATGTGTCCATCAGATGTCCAGAGGCAGTGGACAGATGGATCAGGAGTGTCAGAGAGAGGGTGGGCTTGGCACTGGGAGTGGAGGGGTTGGTCTTCCCCAGCTCGAAGGCTGCATGGCATCCCCCAAGGGAGCACGGACAGAGAGGGCATTCCCGGGCACCCCAATGCTGGAGTCCAGCAAAGGGGGCAGAAAGGAGGCCAGTGGGAAACTAGAAGACGACTGGGTCACGGCCAGCAGTTTCCAGCAAACAGGCCTGGCCGCTCACCGCCTAATCCCCAGGGCTCAGGATACAGTCCTGCAGAGTGGTGCCCGCTAAACACCTGCTTAAAGAACGAACATTTGTCTTTAAGCTTGCAGACGAGAAAAATGGCGAGCATCAGGAACCCTCATGCAATCACTAGGGACAAGTCACACCAAAGCAGGTCTTCATTCGCTTGTTAGAGCGAACCATAGAAGGAGACAGGCAGAGGGTACCCCGAATTCCAGCCAAGTCAGGAGCTGGACGGTGCCTGGGAGTGAGGAAGAATGTGGCCGGGGTATGCTGATCAGCAAACAGACCGGGGTACACATGGCCCGTTCCTGGACCTGCCTGTGTGTATGTGTGTGCACACATTTCGTTTTACTCTTAACCTCAATGTTATATAAATAATATATACACAATTATTTTTTAAAAGGCTCCTGATCTCTTTCTTCTATCTTCAGAACCGGCAGTATGACATTCTTCCAAGATCTCTCTGACCCTCCTACCCTCCTCTTGTAATGGACCCTATAAAATATATCAGCTGCTTTCCTAGGGTTGCTGTCATAGGTTCCCCAGACTGGGTAGCACAGAACAGCTGAAAGACAGTCTCTCAGTTCTGGGGCCAGAAGTCCCAAGTCGAGGTGTCGAGGTGTTGGTGGGGCCACGCTCCCTCCCAAGACCCCAGGTCCCGGCCTCTCTCCTAGCTTCCAGGAACCTCATAGACCCATGTCCTGGTCCCAGGATCGCCTCCCAGCGCCCTCCCTCTGTGCGGGTCTGTCTCTCCATGTCCAGATGTCCCCTTCTTATAAAGACAGCAGTCATAGTGGATTAGAGGCCCACCCTCCTCCAGCATGACCTCATGTTAACTAATCATATCGTCTTCAATAACCGTATCTCCAAAGAAGGTCACATTTTAAGGTGCTGGAGGTTAGGACTAGAACATGACGTGTGTGTGCGCGTGCACGCATGCGTGCGCGCACATGTCCACATGTAAACACATCTACCTACCTACCTGGCTACCTACCCATCACCTGTCATTTTTACCTTGACTCGAGTGAAGATGCCGAGGTGCTGAAGGCGAGCTTATCAACCATTCGGGAGCCACATCTGGCTGAACAGAGCTATGTCTGGATTCGAGGTACACCACGAAAAAACCCCCGAATGAACACCAAGTTTCCTGGAGGGGCCGTAAAGATTCTGTGCATGCTCTCAAAGGCCAACTGGCTGCATGGGGACCGAGGTCCAGTCTGGGAAGATGAGAAAGTTCTGGAGACGGGTGGTGAGCATGGCCGCTCCCCAGGGTGAGTATTCGAGGCCTCTGAACGGCACACCTAGAAAGGGTTAAAATGGTAACTGTTACGCAATGTATAATTTACTACAATTATTTTTTAAAAGGGGGGAAAAGTCAGTTGGCTAACTGCAAGGCGGGGTCCTGGATGGGGTCAAGAAACAGAAAAAGGGCCTTAGTGGAAAAACGGGCGTAGTCCAAATCCACAACAGAGTTTTACTGATGGGGGTTTATGGATGTTGGTTCCCAGCTGTGACAAATAAAGGTGGGGGTGTATGATGTTGGCTTTGGGGGAAGCCGGGTGAAAGGTGTATGGGAAGTCTCTCTAGAATCTTCGCAGCTTTTCTGTAAAATTCTGAAAGTTTCCTAAGAGGGATGCCTGGGTGGCTCAGTCGGTGAAGCGTCTGCCTTCGGCTCAGGTCATGATCCCACCAGGGTCCTGGGATCGAGCCCCTCATTGGGCTCCCTGCTCAGCAGGAGACTGCTTCTCCCTCTGCCCCATGTCACCCTGCTCATGCTTTCTCTCTCTGTCTCAAATAAATGCATAAAATCTTTAAAAAAATAAATAAATAAAACTTTTCTAAAATGAAGCTGAACAGCCAAAGACAGCAAAACTCAAGGTTACGTGGGTGTATACATTTGTCAGACCCATCAAACTACATAATTAATATCTGTGCATTTTACTTTATGTAGCCTATATCTAAATTTTTAAAAAGATTTTATTTATTTATTTGAGAGAGAGAGCAAGAGACAGCACAAACAGGGGGAGTGGTAGGCAGAGGGACAGGGAGAAGCAGGCTCCCTGCCGAGCAAGGAGCCGGACACGGGACTCAATCCCAGGACCCTGGGACCATGACCTGTGCCAAAGGCAGATGCTTCACCGACTGAGCCACCCAGGTGCCCGTAGCCTATACCTTAATTTAAAGACACCCGGCAGAAGTCACCTGATGGAAAACGTCCATCAGATTGGCCCAGAGAGTCCACATTTTAAAAATGTATCTAAAGGAAATATTTTGGGTTGTGCTTCAAGACGTAGCTGCAAGGATGTTCCACTGAGCGTTGTTTATAAAAGCAAGATACGGGGAGATGATGCAAATGTCCTGTGGCAGGAGTTTTGGGCAATGAAATACACAGGGGTGATATTTAGAATATTTGGCCACCTGATAAAGCCTGAGCACTGAGTGGACAAGTACCCGAGAGGGGGATGTCAGACCAGCTCTTGGTCGCAGCTGAGCCTCTGCCTACTGTCTAGTACACTGCATGGGGCACTCTAGCCCCGGGCTGGCAGATGTGCACAACCTCAGGAGAATTTCCTGGAAGCCTTGTGGAGAGCCCTTCCATCAGACTCATCAGGTCCAGCTCCAAATCGCTAACAGGGCTGCTGAGGCCTAAGTCAGAGAATCCAGAGCGAAGTTTAATTCCTAAAATTATGTTGGTGTTTGCACACCATGTTCGTAGTCGCCAAAAGGTGCAAGCAACCTAAAGGTGTCCATCCATGGATGAAGGATACACATGGCGTGGTCCATCCACGTGTGGGAACACGCTCCAGCCTCAGGAAGGAAGGGACCCTGACACCTGCCATGACGTGGAGGGACCCCGAGGACACCGGGCTCAGTGAGAGGAGCCAGACCCAGAAGGACACATCCCGCAGGACCCCAGTCCCAGGGGGTCCCCAGAGGAGTCCCGTCCACACAGACAGAGAGGAGAGGGTGGGAGCCGGGGCTGGGGCAGGGGGTGGGGAGTCCATGCTTCATGGGGACAGAGCCTCCGTGTGGGGAGATGGAACGTTCTGGAGACGGAGGGTGGGGGTGGCTGCAGGACAGGGTGAGTGTGCTTCATGCCGCTGAGCTGTGCGCTTAGCTTAGAGATGGTTACGATGGTGACTTATGTATATCTTACACAATAAAAATATCAAGAGTTCTGATCTTTTTTTTTTTTTTAAAGACTAAAAAGAAGGAAAGCAAAGAATCTCAGGGTCCAACTCCGCAGAGGCCAGCCTTTTTAATCTGGCAAGTAAGGATATTAGTAAAAAAAGAAGGGGCACACTGCTGCCCACAGTACAGAGACAAGGCCCCCCTGCACCCCAGACTCTGAGTCCCGCTGGGGCCACAGCACTGAATTTGTGGGCCGCCACGTTACAGGCCATGGGTGCCCAAGAAACCCGGGATTGTGTGTGGGCCACGAGGAAGGCTGGGGGCCGCCAGGAGCCCCTCTGCGCTCCTCCCCTGCAGGTGAAGCCTCCTCCCACTCGGGCTCCTCCCAGGTCCCCGGGCTCCACCCGAACCCGCTCCCGGGCAGAGCTAACATTTAACCAGCACGCCCAGGGTGGCCAAACCAGGTGCGCAGGTATGAAGGAGCATACCTGCCTGGCAAATCACTGCCGCTTGGAGCGCCCGGAAGCCTCTCCAAGTCAGCCCCGGAGCATCACAGGAGTCCTGCAGCCTCCGGATCCACAGCAGCTGGGGAGAAGCCCAGCCTCCTTGCGCCTGGGGGGCTAGGGCACCCCGCCCCCTGTAGGCTCTTTAGACTTGGCCCACAAGGTAGAGGAAGGGGGGTCTTTTCTTTTCTGGCACAGCTTGCGGTCCCTTACTGCACCCTGCAGCTCAGTATTCCTATCTGTGCAATGGGCCTTGCAGCCGCCACTCCCGGAGGATGCCTCTCTCTGGCCTCTCTCCCCGCCTGCGCCCTGGTCTCCTGGATGCCCCTGCACTCCCAGGCTGGACGAGGACCCCAGGGCCTCTCAGAACCTGGACAGAGGGCTCCAAAGCCGGGGGGCGGGGGCAGCCTGCCTGCCTTTGGGGACTGGCTCAGAGCCCTGTCTCTGCCAATCTCTCCCTGGCCTGGCCCCACGTTGTAAGAATTTGCTGAGGGCCATGAGTCACATGAGAGAAGGTGATTCCGCATCCCCCCGGGCCCCCCCGCTTACATAGGGTGATGTCTGGGGACATCAGTGGTTGTGACACTAGGGGGTGCTCCTGGCATCGAGGGGTTGGGGCATCGAGGGGTTGGGGCTGGGGATGCTGCTGAACCCCCCCCCCCGCCGTGTGCTCAGGACAGGCTCCCCCCGAGAATGATCAGGCCCCAGATGGCCACAGTGCCGATGGGGAGAAAGCCTGGCCTGGGTCTAACTTCAATCCTGCCTGCTGCCAAGCGTGCCCCTTGCTTCTCCCTCTTTGTGCTCTGCAGAGAAGGAATACTTGCCCCATGGCTCAGGACAACCTAGGACTTGAGCCATCCCGCTGCCCACTGCCCCTGCCACCCCAGGCAGCCCGTCTCCACTCAGGGCCTCAGCTTTCCATCTGGGCAATGGGCCTGAAGCTGGATAACGAGGGAAGCCTCAGAGATGGTCCCCGGGGGTCGGCTTCGCCTGCGGGACCCCAAAAGGACCAGGTCGGTCCTGGCTCCGCGCCCCCAGCCCGGCTGGAGATGGAGAGCAGAGGAGACCAGACCGCGGGGGTGGGGGTGGGGGGGGAACGGGAGAACACTGCTGCATTTCTGGTCCGAGTTCTTTCTTTTTTTAAAATCACCGCAGTTGAAAGAGCGACTCCTCCCTCCGTCCTGCGCCTGCCACGTGGGCCGCCCGGCAGCCGCCCCTGTCCCCCAGCCCTCCCTGGGCTGGGCCGGGCCGGCAGCAGGAGCTTTGGTTTCACTTTGGTGCCACCGGTTTCACTTTCGGGCAGGAGAAGAAAAGAGAAGGCCGAGCAAGGGATGGAGAGCGCACAGGAGGCTCCGCCGGCCACAGGGTCAGCCGCCTGCCCGCCGCCTCGGCCGCCGCACTCCCATCCCAGGGGGCTGCCTCCTGACCTTACTCCTGGCCCGGGGATTCTCATCTCTCTCAGAGTCAAGGTCAAGGGGTCAAGGTCAAGTTCGCTAGTGATTGTGGGCGGGGCAAGCCACCTCCTCCGTCTGGGCTCCTTTCCCCAAACCCACCCCCTTGAAAGTGGGGCTGAGAGTCACTCCACCAGCCAACATCAAGGACAGTCCCACCACGTCCCCAGTGGGGAGCGGGTGGGGCAAGGTGCAAAGCAGAACAGGATGTCGGGTCAGCTGACTTCCCCCGGCAAGAGACCCTTTGGCCCAGAAACCACTAGGAAGGAGGCTCCATGTGGTCCGAGTCTGGGCCTGGATATGTGTGTGTGTTGTGGGGGGGGCGGGAGAGGACAGTGTCCCTGAAGCCACCTGCCGTGGCATCTGTCTGGCAGACCCAGGCTGGAAGCCCAGCTGCTCTGCTGGCTTTCCGGCACACCTGCCCGGCTCTGGGACTCAAGTGTTCTCATCTGTGAAATGGGCGTGGCCTTGTTGCTTAGCCCCATGCGCCCCTCCCCTCCTTGGGGGGCCCTGCTGCCCTTGTGCAGAATGGGGGTCCACTGCCTTCTGAGCCTGAGAGCCACACCAGGGCAAGAACCGGGCCCCATGCCCCTGTCTCTGCAGCACAGGTTCAGGGCCTGGTAGAGGACTCGCCAGACAGGACCGGGGAGTCACCCGAGGCATATGTCAATAACATGGCGTGGGCAAGATAGACAATGTGTGTGCCAATGGGACAGGGTGGCTTGTTTTTTTAATAACAGCTTCATTGAGATATTAATTCACCCACTTCAAGGGTATAATTCACTAGTTAGTACATTCACGGAGCTGTGCAACCACTACCACTAATTCTGGAACGTCCCATCGCCCCAGAAAGAAGCCCTATCCCTTCCCCTCCCCACCCCCGGCCCCCACGAGCCCCCTTCCCGTCGTGGTTGAGCCTGTTCCGGACGTGTCACCCACGTGGACTCACACCAAGTGGGCCCTTCTGTGTCTGGTTCCCTCCCTGAGTGTCGTGGGCTCGGGGTCCGTCCCCGGGGCCGCACATGTGGGCGCCTCGCTCCTGCTCGCGGCCGAGGGACGCCCCCGTGCGTGGGGGGACACACTGTGTGTATCTGCTCTTCAGCTGATGGACATCTGGCCTGTTTCCAGCCTGGGCTCCGGTGAATCACACTGCTGTGAATGGGGGCAGGTGTTACGGTGACCACAACAAGTGTTGACTAGTGCGTGTCCACCCCCCAGTAAGTGATGTCTGGGGACCCTGTGTTTTGTGGGGTAACAAGCACCACAACGTGCAGAGAGAGGAGGGGCAGTCCGCAGTGGGGCTCTGGCACCCAGGCTCTCCAGGTCTCTGCTGGGCTCCGGGAACCCCTTCCCCACCCCCTAGGTTGGCCCATTGGTGAACCCGGGACTCCCCCAGAGGCCCCCAGTGGCTCCCCCACACTCAGGGGCAGCCCTCAGGTGCTGGCTGACAGAGTGCAGGGGGCCAGGCGGGCTCGGGAGGGGAGAGGCAGGGAGGGGAAGGAGCAGTCACACAGGGAGCGACTTCCTGCTCTTTAATGTGGGGTGAAGACAGGAGACAGCACACCTAGGGGTTCCTTCAAGCATCCCTCCTGACCCCCAACCCCAGGACCCCGGGCCTCGGCCTTGCCAATGCACCTCCCAGGTCCTGGTGCTGGGACCCCGCCCCCCTGCGGGCCAGCCAAAAAGCCAGCCCAAATCCAGGTGTCATCCGTGGGGAACCAAGTCCAATGTCTGCTCGTGGGTCCAGTGGGGAGATGTCCATTCCAACCCTCTGCCTGCTTTTTAATTGGGGCGCTTGTCTTTTGGTTGCTGAGCTGTAAGGATTCTTTATACTCTGGACCCTAGAGCCATCTCCCACTCTCTGGGTTGTCTCTTGATGGGGTCCTTTCATGCACCCGGTTTGATCAGTCCAAGCGCACCTGTGTTTTCTTTTGCTGCTTGTGCTTACGTGTTATGTTGAAGAACCCACTGCCAAGTCCGAGGCCACGAAGATGGAAGGTGGGAGAAAATCCAACAAGCAGCGATGCTGAAGGTTCACTGGAAGGTCTGGTGGCCTCAACGGTGGCCCTTGTTGGGGCGGGGGTGGGGTGGGGGTGGGGAGCAGGCTGCCCTGAGTGGGGGGAGGGGGGATGTTTGTCCTGAGCCTGAAGTTTGAGCAGGAGTCGGGGGTGGAGAAGGGTGATGACAGAGAAGCTTCCAGAACAGGGAGCAGCAGGTGCACACAGGGAGGCAAGAGTGAGAGATTTGCACTTCCCCTGTGCCCCTCCTCTTCCTCCCCCCCCCCATGACCCCTGGACAGCCCCTGCGCCTGCACCCTGGGTCCCAGGGCCCAACAGACATGGGGGTGGTGATGTGATTGTGTTTAGAAACCTGGGTCCCTGTGAAAAAATCCTGTCACTGGAAGAAAGGAGATGAGGGTCAGGGCACGGGGGTGGCGAGTGACCCCTGCATGAGCTTGTACGTGAGCGGAGGGGGTGACTGCAGCCACACAGGAGGGTTACAGGGGTGAGGAAAGCAGGGGTGTCCTCCCTGAGAAGGCGAATTCTGAGCAGCTGCCCACACATCAGTGAGCAGGAGCTAGGCAGGTGCAGAGAGAACAGAGTGTGGAAGGGCTCAGAGGCGAGCAGAACCGGACATGTGCAGGGAGTGGACAGCCGAGCCAGGTGGGCTTGGTTCTTTGGGGGGCAGGGGACACCCAGGACAGCTTCTCAGGGGCCAGCCTTCACCTCCACGTGAGGCAGGCCACCCAGCCAGGGTCCCTGTGGAAGAGACAGATCTAAGGGCTGGAGCCCAGGGCAGGCCGCGCAGGGGTCTCCAGGCCACAGCCTCGCCCTGCCCTTTAGGACCCAGCTCTGTGACGTTCTTTGCACTCCGAGGTCTGCTTCCCTGAGGCCCCCCATTGATGCCTGGACGTGCACCCCCACGTCGCTGGTGTGGCCCCAAGAGGACAGCCACAGTCGGGGCTAGACCCCCGTGTGGGGCAATCTGTGCGTCCTGCTCCTTATTAACTCAGCTTCCTAAACCTGTTTGTCTGAGGTTACTGCCTGGCTCGCGGTTGGCAGCTGTCCCTGGCACACACGACTAGTTTCTTAGCCAGACACCCAACTGACCTGGCTCCCGGCACGGCCACCACCCAGTCCTGCGCCCAAGGCCAGTGGGGGGTTGAGTGCTAACAGACTTCAGTTCCACCTGGTGGCCAACAACCCGGGCCCTTTATTTCCCACTGCACCACCTGAAAGGGTCAATACCAGGCACAGCGGGGTCCCCTGACCCCCTTCTGAACCCAGGTCCCTTCCCATGTCCAGGGGGTGGTCACTGCTCCACGGGATGGCTGTTAAGTATTCTGAGCCCCATTCCCCCTCCCCAGGGCGGCGGATCTTCTCCAGGGCCCATGTTCTGTGGCCCCACTGCCAAGCCTTGGCCTCCGGGGGTTCCCCTGCTGGGGATGCCCCCTGCCCGAGGGCCCTTGGTGACCCTCCTTCACAGGCGGTTCTCGGCGAGAACACCCAGTCCACGGGGTTCTGCCTCGCTTTGCCTTTAGCCTTATGGGCGCTGTGAGTTCTGTCCAGCTCTATGGCCAGGCTGCGGACCCCGGAGCGGGGCATCGGTGGATCGAAAAGACAGTGACTGAGTCAGAAGAAAGCGTGGCTTTGGCGACGGCAGCATGGCCGGCGCTTGTCCTGGGGTAGGTGGGACCCTCTGCGTGGGCCCCATGTCACCTTGGGCAAGTAGCCTAGCGTCTCCGGGGGTCAGAGACCTACGTGGCCCACAATATGGGGTGTGGCCGGGGTGCAGGGAGAAGGGATTCGGGGCTGCTCTGGAGAGGATCTGCTCGGTAGGCCTGGGAGGACCCCCTCTGCTGGCGGGGCGGGGAGGGAAGGGGGGGCTCCCGGGGGCATGGCCTCCCTTGAGGCTGCAGAGCCAGGGGGAAAGCGGCCACGGGGTGGGAGTCCCAGGGGAGGAGGCAGGAGGGCCACAGTCCCTCCCTCACCCGAGGCTCCCGGTTCTCCAAGGGCTGCTCTTGCGGGCCTCCCTCTGTCCCCTGGGAAGCCCGGGCAGAAACCCGAGACTGAGCCTCGGCCTCGGTTCAGGCTGTTCAGGCTGCGGTGGGGCCCAGGCCTCTCCCTCCGGCCCTCCCCCTCCTCCTCCTCCTCCTCCTCCTCCACCTCCTTCTCCTCCTCCTCCAGAGCCAGCCCCACGTTGCCATGGGGACGGCAGACCAGGCAGGTCCTCCACCCACCTGGCCCGGGGCTGCCCCAGGCTCACACACCTGGTCAGCTCTGAGCCCAGGAGGGGCAGGGCCTGGAGGGCCCCTGCTGCTTTCGTTTTGAGGGCACCCCTTCCCCTTCCTCACCCCTACTCCGCCTCGGACCCCACTTTCTGGGAAACCCTGTGGCCGTTTCCTCTGACCTCTGTTAACCCGGAGTCCATGGCCCACAGAGGGAGGCCGACTTCCGCCTCTGACCTGAGGCTTCCTGCCCGGCACATACCTCCGCCCAGAGGGCTGGCTGAGCACCCTTCTCTGGACTCCCCACCTTCCAGAAGGTTCCGGGCCCCCTCTGCCCACATCCCTCCTGCCGCACCGTGTCCTGGACTATGGCCACAGGAAGTCCACTGGTCTGGGCAGGGAGGCTGGGACACAGATGCTCTGCCTCTTGGTCCATCAAACTGGGGTAGGGTTTAGGGCTGAGTCAGGCTCTACACCCTCGGCATCGTCCCCGGGGTGCTGTGGGGGTGGAGCAGCACCCCCAGCCCCACCCCCTCGATGCCAGGAGCTCCCCAGTGTGACCACCACAGACGTCCCAGACATGGCCCAGTGCCCCCTGGGGGCAGGGTTGCCCTAGGTGAGACCCCTGGGGGGCCGCACACATTTGGATACACACACTGAGGGACATCTGGCTGGCTCTGTCGGTGGAGTGCGCGGCTCCTGACCTCGTGAGCTTGAGCCCCACCTAGAGCTTACTTAAAAATAAACAGATAAACACACAGTGGGAGGGAGAGAGGGGGTGACTCATAGACACCGAGGTCACCCTGGTTTGTACCCTGGGGGCTTTACTCTGGGGTCCAGCATGAGCAGGGGCTGGACTCAATTTCTTTTCCAAATAATTAACACAGGGTCTCTCCCCCGCCACCGCCCCGCTGCAGCCATTCGGGATCCTTCTCTGTGGGGCATCCAGGGCGCTGTGGGGGACTGAGCAGCCTCTCCGGCCCCCACCCACCGAATGCCAGGAGCACCCCCAGTGTGACCACAGACATCTCGGACATGGCCCTGTGTCCCCAGGTTGAGACCCAGCGGGCTGACAGCCGGTGCAGACAGAGAGCAGAGCGGGCTTGGGCCTGTGCTGCCCAACGCGGCCCCTGGCCCCGGGGACACGGCCACGCTGGGTTGAGGTGTGCTGTGAGGGCAAAAGACAGGCCGGATTCCAAAGGCTCCGTGCAAGAAGAAACAAAGAACGTAAAAGACCACACTGCTAATTTCTCCTACTGGTTACAAGGTGAAAGGGTAGTGTTTCGCCTCTGTCGGGATGGATAGAACATGCCATCACGTTACCTTCCCCTGTGTCTTTCCCCGTTTTGCAGCGCCGGGAGGTGACACTGGCGCCGGCACGCCGCGCCGGGCGGTGACCTGGGCTGGGTCTGCAGGCTTGTGCCCTGCACTCCGCCCGGGCCACCCCGCCGCGCTCGCTGCGGGAAGGGAATGCGGGGGGGCTTTCCTGGGGGAGGGGGTGCACCACCCGGCCGTCGGGTGAGCCGCTCAGGGCTCTGCGGCACCAACGGTGCAGAAGGGAACCAGCCGGGACGGGGCCTCCGCTCCGGGCACGCAGGGAACAGGAGGAAAGCCGGCGCATGACACTCGGGGTCTTCTCCCAAACCAAGCGCGGGAACAAAAAAGCGAAGACAACACAACACTAAAGAACCCAACCAACGCGCAAGATCCCAAAGCTCTCGTGCCTTTCCTGACTGATTTTGTTTGGACAGAGAGGTCAGAAAGATGGGGTGTCCGGGGTCACAGGTGTCGTGTCTGCAGGGGCCCCCGAACACGGAGGCGGGGTCTTCAGGCTCCCGTACTTGGTGGCATCGGGATTCTTCAAGAGGAGCCAAGAAACCTCAACACGGCCACACAAAACGCTCTGTATCTCCTGAGGGCCACCTGCTGCCTGACCCCCATGTCAGGAGACCCCCAAACCAACAGCTCCTACGCAACTCATGAGGAGCCTGCCCCCTCGCAATAGAGCCTGTCAGCAAGTCTGTCTGGCCGACGGGAGGGCTGGGTGTGTGCAGGGGACGGCGGTGCAGGGGAGACACTGGGAGGTGCCGGCCTAAGGGCCCCAAGGCTCTGGTGAGCTCCTGGCTTCCTAGGAGCCTGGTCTGGGACAGACAAGAAGAGAAAGAGTCCACTTCTCTGTGCTGTGGCCCTGGGACACGGTGCAGTGGGGGCCGTACCCCGACTCCAAATCCTCCCCGAGCCCTCAGGACCCAGGCACCGTGGTCTCTTACTCCTTGAAAATGGCAGCCCGTTACTGGAGGCTCGGCGGCCGTGGCGTGTGCAGGACAGGCCCCAAGATGCGGCCCGTCATGGTGGCCCGCGCCGGGTCCCGCCACCCAGACGCTGACCCACCTTCCCGGCCCCATAGAGCGACAGCTGCGGACTTCGGGGTATCTGCTTTATTCTCAACGGGTGAGACTTTGGAGACTAGGAAGTGGTGGAAACCCAGGAAGCCGGTGGAAGGAGGCAGCAACTCGTCTCCTCTTTGGCATCCACAGGAAAAAGCACAGGAGACTGGGAGGGCAGCCTCCAGAAACCCAGGGCTGGCCGCCTGCCGCGCCCGCAGAGCAGCCGGGCCCCAGGACCCGCTGCAGCGTCCAGGGGGCGCTCACAGCCCCGCCATCTTCAGAGCTGGGGGGAAGCCTCAGAGGCGGCCCGACCCTGGGTCCTGGGCCAAGTGCGCATCCAGATGGACATGAGAACTGGGACCACCTCACCCTCACCGTTTCCTTTCCCAGCAGCTGGCGCTGACCTGCCGGGGGGCCTGAGGGACGTGCCCCGGGCAGTCACTTCCGATTCTCTGCGGGAGCAGAGGTGACACGAAGAGCCACCTGCCTGCGTCTGCCAGCCTGGAGGCGTGGGGACAGCACAGGCCCTTCTGCTGGATCTGCAGGGCTTCTCGACCACACTGACAGCCTGGAAGCCCACTGCTCTCTTTCTGCCAAGTGTCAGCTCAGCAACTGCCACCAGGAGTTAGATGTGTCTGGCCCCTGCAGCACAGGAGGGGATGAGCAGGTCCCTCCTGGGGGTAGGCCACAGGCTACTGAGCACAGGCGGGTCAGCGGCGTGACACGAGGGAGGGAGGAAGTGGACCCCATGACCACCAGTGGGCCCTGGGGACCACCTCCAGGGGTGAACGTCGGGGGCCATGCAAGGGATGACATAGGAGCGTGGGGCGGCGGCACCTCCCTTTCTTTTGCTGAAAGACACCAAGGTCTAGAGGTTCCCTTGAGGCTCCATCCCCAGTTGCTGGTGTCCCCCCCCCCAACCGCCCCTCTGCCCCAGGTGGGCGGTGGGCTCGGGGCTGGGACTGCCAGCCCCCCCCCCCGCCCCCCGAACAAACAGAACAAGAAGTACAATGGGCACAGTTTGCTTTTTCTTTCCCTGTTTTGTTTTAAACCTAAGAAGCAGGTCCGAGAAGACCCCGCGAGCAGCGTCACCCTCCCCGGGGACCGGAGGCTCAATGTCCACCGCGGGGTGTGCGGGCAGCTCCGCGGAAGGCGGAGGGAGAGGCGGGCTGGGCCGGGGGAGAGGAGGCCCTGGCCTGTCCTGGGCAGGAGGGGCGGGGCACGGGTGGGACGGTGGGCAGGTCACCCATGGGACCCCATCACACGGCAGTGCGCGTGGGTGTGCTGGGCTGGTTCAGCCGCAGCGTTTTACACAACCAGCCGGCAAAATCCACTTCTTCCACCTCGGACCGCTTGATGAAGGTGTGGCTCTGCAAGGGGAGGAGAAGCGCATCAGGAAGGAGGGAGGCCCGGCAGGCCAAACGGCGCTAAGCCTGAGTGGGAGGCGATGCTGCGCTCACCAGACCCAGGTCACCACCCAGCCCCGCCGGTGCAGGGGCCGGTCACACTCTGGGGGGCTGAGCAGTGTCCCCAGCCCCCACCCCCTCGACGCCCAGAGCACCCCCGCCGTGAAGCCCGCAGACGTCCCCAGACACCGCCCTGTGTCCCCTGGGGACAGAGTTGCCCCTGGGTGAGAACATCGGATCTGGAACAAGAGAAGCCTCCGTGAGGACAGGAAGTCCCCGACTCGTTCCGTCTGATGTGGCAGCCACTGGCCACGTGAGGCTCCTGAGCCTCGGATGTCGGCTCCTGGGGCTGAAGAAGAGAAGCGCACGTTCCGTTTCAAGTAACTGAGATCAGCACACGGCTGGCGGTTCCCGTCCGGGACAGCACAGCAACAGAGGTTGCTGGTTGAAGGCTGGGGGCCGTGAGCAACACTACCCCCACAGGGTGTGCGGGGGAGGGGCGGTCCTGGGGGGTCGGGGTGCACGGGAGGAGGCCTGGGCCCACACAAGATGCCCAGGCGGCGGGGCAGGAGACGCCATCCTCACCTTCCCAAGAGTCGGCACAGGCTTGGGGGCGACAGGACGGAGGGCCAGACTCCCACGGTCTGGGGCAGCAGGCCCCACAGAAAGCAGTTTAAGTGGGGCAGAGACCTGGGGGCCCCCCGGGGACCTCAACATCAAGGAGCTTGTCTAGGTCACAGATCTCGTGCATCTTACACCCAACACGCATCTGTGACATCGCACGAACACTCTCCACGGCGGACACAACAAAGACTCTCCAAGAACGAGGGCGGGCAGACCCTTCCCACATGGTGCTCTCGGCGCCCAGGACCGGGACACGCTGGCTGTCACCGAAACTAACAGGCAGGGCTGCGTGAGGCGCTGAGGCGGAGACCCCAAGATGGGGACAAGCCAGCCGAGAGCAGCAAGGGACGTGTCCCCCAGGGAGCAGGCCTGTCCTTCGCAAAGGCCCTGAGGTGGAGGCTCTTTGGAGGAGGCAGGAAGGCCGTGGCCCCCTCAATGGAAAGGCTGAGTTCTGACAACGAATAGAGGCTCGAGTTCTGCCGCTTGCATGCCCGAGACAAAGGACCGGCGCCCGTGACTGTCACGGTCTCATGTCGTGGAGGGGTGTGAAGGGTGGGCTGCCGCAGGCATGGCAGGGGTGTGGGGGGACGAGAGCCGGCAGTGGAGGGGGCTGAATGCGCCAGTGGCCTTGCAGCCCTGTCCCCAGCCTGCTAGAGGAAGGGGAGTCTTGACGCCCACCTTGGTTCTCAGGGACATCAGACAGTGTGGACTTGTAGGGGGGCTAGTAAGCCCAGGTCTTCCCAGCCTGTGGGGCCCTACCACTCTCAGTAACACCCCTGACCACGGGCATGGAGGGGCCATCCCGTGCCTCCACAAGCCGCGGGCACCACGGCTGCTCTAGATCCTCCCCACTAACGGAGCCAGGAGACCACAGACGCGCTCTGGTGGGACACGCGACCCAGGACGGCAGAGCCGGCTCGACGGCTGGCTGGGGTCCCCCTGAGGTGAGCCCGTGCCCCTGTCATCACCTACCATGAGCATCTTCAGATCCGCTCGCTCTGCTGGGTTCTTTATTAGGCTGGAGAGGAAGACAGAGGGTGGGGGAGACAAGGCAGGGCAGTTAGCCAGCGGCCACGGGAACTTGGGTTTTGAGCTGTGATCGGTCAGCCCCGTCCCTGCGCCTGGCCTGAGGCTGGATGCAGCAAGGAACAGAACCCGCTCTGCTGTCCCTCGGGTGTAAGGGCAGGCCCCTGGGGAGGGAAGGGTAAGGGTCTGAGACCAGGACAAGAGAGAGGGGGAAATGCTGAGGGGACCTGCTGGCCACTGCCCGGTCTGAGGCACAGCACAACCGCACTGCTAACAACCCCTAACCTGGGAGTCTGAATGTCAAAATGGAACTTTTTCCTTCAAAAAAGCAGAACTGCCCCTAAAGACAGTTGCTCAAATCGGCCTGAGGCCAAACGGTGGCTGTTCAGAACCAAAAGAAAATGAGAGGGGTAGAGAAACATTCACGTGGATCCCTGGATTCGGGCCAGTGGCTGTGCAAAGGGCCAGTGGCGCAGGTCTGCTGCTGTGTGTGATGTGCTCCCCAGGCCAACTCCACCCGCCCTGACGTGCAGCACGGCCCTCAAGGTGAGGGGTGGCCCCGGCCCCTCCTGTTGCAGAGCCTGTGCGCCCCAGGCCCTGCTGACGCATCAAGAGCAGCTGACCGCTTGCCAGAACCCGACTTGGAAGCCTTGTTGGGAAGCTGGTGGGTTACAGGGCTTGAGGGCTTAGGAAACTGGGACACGGGCTGGCGGAAGGCAAGGCAGGAACCCTGGTTTGTTCTGGCCTTGGGGACAGGATGGGGACAGCAGCTGGACACTGCAACTCAGTAGCCTTGGAAAGGGAACCTACTGGGTTCTCATGTGAGCTCCAGGTGCCCCCAGATGCCGTCGATCCTGGCAGAGGGGCCCAGCCCAGGACCAGGAAGGAAGTGTGCATCTGGGCCGGTGGCCAGGGTGTGGGCAGCCGTCCCGGGAGGCAGGCGGGGCCTCTGACGGCCTGGCAACCCACCCTGGGGCCACCCTGAGACTGTGGCACCTTACCATTTATTTACAAACTCCTGGAAGTCCTGCGTGAAGACGCCGCTGGGCAGCTTAGGAGGTGGCTGTGGGAGAGAGCAGAGATGGGGGTCGGATGCTCGAGGATGGTTCTGGAATCACGGGGAGGTGCTTCATGGCCCTGAACCCGTGAGAACAGCACTTTTTGGGGATCCTCAGAAGGCATCTCTCCTGGCCCCAGTCCCTTCACCTTGCTGGAGGGGGACCCCCCACCCCACCCCATGCCCGCCTTCTGGCAGCTTCCCCACAGGCCCTGCCACCCGCCCTGCCAACTTGGTCAGACCCTTCTGGTGTTCTCTTTGGAAAGCTCTGGTTTTGGGATCACAGCTGGTTCCAGGAGGGGGAGTAGAACAGGGCCCATCCATTTCCAGCTGGGGGTCCAGATCCTCAGGGGGAGGGGTGTGGGGTGGGGCAGCAGGTTCCAGAAGCCCAAGGAGCCTGGCCCCATATATATGTGCCAGGATGGGGATAGCTGTGTGCAGGGTCAAGCCCCCATCAGGGCAGGCAGTGGGCAGGTGGCCTGGTGAAACCCACGGGGCCTTCCTCCACGCAGGGGTCGGGGGTGCTGGCAGGCTCCCGGGAGGAGGTGCTTGCTGGGCCTAGGTGTGGCTGCCAGGTGCAGGGCGAGCTGTGTCACCAGAGCCAGCCCATCCTGTTCTGTCATCACCAGCCCCACTCCGAGCCACTCACCCCAACACTCAACCCTATACCAAGCCAGTGCCACAGGCCACCCGGCCACCCCATTTCCCTGCCCTGACTCTGAAGGGCCCCAAAAGCACACTTTGGCCCACAGAAGGCCCAGGAACGGTGACCCAGCCAGGCAGGGAGGGTGGGTTTCAGGGTCAGGTCCCGCTCTGCCCCTTTCCAGCTGCAGGCCCAAGGAGGCTGGTCCCATCCCTGTACAACCACGACGGAAACAGTCCCATTACCTGCTCACACAGTGGTGAGGCAGATCGGGACAGGGGGGCTGGGCCTTCCGTGCCTCTTTCCCTGAACTTTCCCCGAGGAAGTGGATCACTCATGACTGCACAGGCAGGGACTCTGAGATGCGCAGAGAGCTACCAGGGGCAGCTCCGGGGCCTGGGCACTTGGCTACAGCCTTGGGGGGTGTCTTTACCCACACCCACACCGGCACGTAAACTCCTCTCAGGACATGGCAGACTCATGAGGTATGGCAGGAAGGCTATGCACTTCTACCCCGATAACTGACCGCTGAAAAGAGGTCCCTGCCCTGCCCCCCACTCCTCCCCCAACAGAATCGAGTCTGCGTGAATTCCCTTCCCTTGGGTAACGAATTCCAAGTCCAATGGCTTAATCCGCCGTCGTGAAGACGGGCCAGAGGGGCCTCCGGTACACACCTCGTTCACAATATAGTCCAGCAGCTCGAAGATGGCCATGGCCGGCCGGCTGTCCGTCCCGTGACCTGGTCGGGCAGACAGAGACAGGGGTGAGGCGGGTGTCAGCTGGGTACCCTTCCCCCGACACTGGCCTAAACCAGGGGAGGCGCCCTGGTGGGGTCCTTGCTGCTGAGCTCGCTTTCTTGGGAAAGCAGCTTCTCTGCGAGCCTCCGCCGAATTAACAAAACAAAACAAAACAAAGCAAAACGCCAACGTGAACAGGGGCATTTTTTGAGAAATCACACATTTGGCACGGGGCTGCTTCCAGGCTGTGCCAAAGTCACAACCCCTGCTTTCTGGCGCACAGGCAGGGTGTGGGGGGTGGTGCTGACCAGTAGCAAGGACAGCAGCGTGACCTTGCACGGAGCCGCGGGTGAAGGCAGCATCAGGCCCCAAATGCTGCCCAGAATGGACGACCGGCTGGGGGTAGCTGACCCCTGTCTTTGACCCAGCTGGCCAGGGCCAGGTTTGGCAGCTGGACTTTCGCCTTCTTTCCCCTGGCCTGGAATGGGCACGCGGGCCGGGGTTGGGGGAGGGGCTGGCAGGCCAAGGTGGCCTGGCATGGCCCGCCGCTCCTCCCTGCTGGGACGGGGCCCCAGCTGAAGGCCCGCGATGCCACCTGGGAGCTGGTGCTGGGAGGGCCAGGGCCAGGGCCCGGGGACACAGATGGGGGCGGGGGGTTCTCCCCTTGGAGAAAATCAAGACACCCCAGCAATGTGGGTCTGGCACCAGGAAAGGAGGAGCTGAGCTTGAAAATACTGTGAAAGCTGCCACTTGACGGCCCATGTCCATCAGCAGCGAAGACACACAACATGGGCCACCACAAGCAGGGATACGTGGCCTCGGCCGTGAGCAGGAGCGAGGCACCCCCACGCGCGGCCCCGGGGACAGACCCCGAGCCCACGACGCTCAGGGAGGGAACGAGACACGGAAGGCGGCGCGGGGTGTGAGTCCACGTGGGTGACACGTCCGGAACAGGCTCATCCACGGACGGGAAGGGGGCTTGTGGGGGCTGGGGAGGGGGATGCAGATGGGGAAGGGGCTTCTTTTTGGGGTGACAAGACTGTTCCGGAACTAGGTAGTGGTTATGCTGGCACAACCTTATGAAGATACAAAATTCCACTGAATTGTACACCTTCAACAAGGGAGCCCCGTAGAGCTGAAGTCTATCTCAATAAAGCTGGTATCATACAAACGCAACCCACCCGCACTCGGCTGCACACCCCTTCAGACTCACTCAACTCCCTTCCTGTCACTTGACTTAAAAAACAGAAATCACCAGAGTCCTAAGTGCTGCTTCCTAATTAAGCTGCGTCCGCCATAACCCTTCCCCCCTCGCCACCTCCAGAATGGTCAAAGGGTCAGCCTGAACCCCTCTGGCATGGGGGCGCCCCCCACCTCCCAGGGGCCTGCTGCTGGCCCGGAAAGTCTCCTGGGAGCCCAGCTGTCCCCCAGAGCCCCCCAGCCTCTTGTTCCCTCCCACACTGTGTATCAGGACTGAATCTGACAGGCCACCCAAGGAAATTCTGAGTTGTTACTTTCAGTTTCTGAAAGGCCCAGCCCAAACGCAGCAGAACATTTGCTGCCGAGTCCAGGCGGTGGGCACACAGGTGGCTCGCTGGGCAATCCTGGCAGGCCTTTTACTATATTTGAACATTTTTGTGATGAAATGCTGGAAAACCCACCCAACCAGCGGCTTGGCTGAGGAGTTTGTTTCGAGAACAACCCCCTCCCCTCCGGTCCCCCAGCTGGCTACAACCCACACAGCTGCCCTGGATGGCAGTGGCCTGGGGAGCTGTCCCCAGAAGCCTTGGGACCATCTGTGGACCACTGAGCGCAGTTACCGTGACCCAGGGGGACAGGTGGTGCTGACGGGGGCCAGAGGGGAGGCAGCTGCCACCCCCGGGTGCGGCTCTCCCCGCATGCGGATCACGGCCTGTCCCAGCCCAAAGTTCCAGAGTCAGGCCGTACCGCTGATGGGGCGTCCAGGGGGTCTCGGCCGTGGTGAGATGCTGTGAGGCTCTCCTTCTACCCCGTCCACCACGGGCCGGCCAAATATGGCCTCTAGCTCCTTGGCGTCTGGCGGGGGGATGGGGTACCTTCCGATGGACAGCTCCACCAGGGACAGGCCCATGCTCCAGATGTCCGACTGCACCGAGTAGTGCGTGCCCTGCAGCCGCTCTGGCTGTCGGCGAGAGAGAGCAGAGAGACGCCCCGAGGGAGGCTGGGGCCCGGGAGCACTGACGGGGTTCCCCCCACAGCCCCACCTGGGCCCCAGGCCACCCTCCAAAGACCCAGCACCTCCGTCTCCTCCCTGCCCCCGCTGCGGGACCACCATGTCCTAGCCAGTGCTGACAACAGTGCTCAACACCCAAATTGGCCCAGGAGGCAGCGGGGTGCCTCCGTTTCCATGACGATCCCAAGACTAGCTTCCCAGAGTCTGCTCCTGAGATCACCCAGACGCTTCCTGAGATATCGGGGGGGTAGTTTCTTGGCTCAGAGGTTGACTACCTGCTCCCCTGGACTAGTCTCTTCCTGCTAGAGGGAAGCCACCGGGCGGGCATTTGCAGAGAACACCCTGAGCAAGGAGACAGCCGCAACTAGAATCTGGACGGAAAGGAGAAACCGAGTGGAAACAGAAAGTGTGCTATGGAGAACCGCAGGCCTTGGAAAAGCTTCTGGAAAACGGAACAGCTGACAGGACGGGGGAGGGCACAGATGCCCTCACGCCCAATGGACTTACAGACATGTAGGACCGAGTTCCCACGAAGGAGTTGGCCATGGAGTCGATGAGCTGCCCGCTCACCCCAAAGTCGCACAGCTTAATCTCCCCTCGGGAGTTGACGAGGATGTTGGAAGGTTTCACGTCTGAGGGCACAGCCAGTGGCAGGTGAGGGGGGCTTGGCCTGCCCGCCAGCCCTGCCCGACCCCCAGACGCCCCCATCCAGCTCACCTCGGTGCATGATCTGGTGCTTTTCCCGGAGATACGCCAATCCCCGGAGAACCTGCAGGGGAGCCCCAGGGAGGGGTCAGCAGGGCAGTGCCGTGGGCGGACCTGAGGGGCCGCTCATCTGGGACAAGCTCAGGGAGCCCACATTGAGGGCCAGGGGCAAGTGAGAAGAATGGCAGGGACGGCCACACCATCCTAGGCCAGTGGGCAGATGCCCGGCTCACCCGCCCTCACCACCCTGCCCTGAAGGTCACACAGGCCCGGTGGGCATTGGCTGGTGAGCGCTTCTGTGCTGGGTTTACATGGAGGCCCTGCAGACGGATGGCTGTTTCACCAAGGCTGGGACCCTGCCACTCGGGCCCCGGGCACCCCCCCACACCTGTATAGGGCAGGGAAGCATCACTCCTGTCTTATGGGCCACGAGATGCCACGTGCCAGGCCTGCAGCTGGCAGAGATGGGCATGGGCTGCTCCGACCCTGGCCATGTGAACGGGGCGGGGTAAGAACAAACCCGGCAGAGCACAGGGCCAGGAGCCTGTGCCTGCACCCCAGTGTGCGTGGCCTGAGGGGGCTGGAGCCACTTACCGCAATGCTGACCTTCCCCAAGATCTCCTCAGGAATTCTCTTGGCTTCTTTCAACACCTGATCCAGAGAGCCACCATCCTAGGGTCAACACAGAAGAGAAAAAGCAAGCCGTGCTAAGCAGTTGGCCGGACAGTGCCTGCAGGGCACAGGAGGGCTCCCAGAGGGACACCGGGGCAGCAGGTATAAAAGCGAAGCACTTCCCCGCTTCCCGACAAGCTGCAGCTCAATTTCCTCCACAGGAAACGGAGGCCAGACCACAGCCAAACGCAACCCGCTGGCCCAGAGCAGGGCCTCCTTTGGGCCCTGCCACCTCTGGGGCCTCCGGACAGCCCATCCAGTAAGGAAGGAATAAGGGTGCTAGCATGCTCCCTTGGCAGCCCGGCCTTCCGGGAACCCAGGCCCGGGACTCAGCCGGCCCCTTCCCCGGGTTGCCACGGCAGCAGCGGGACGAGCGGAACTGCTGGGCTTGCAACCAGAGCAACCGCGAAGCCTCCTTCTGGGGCCTGGGTTCTACTCCTGCCAGCCCGCAGCAGCCCCATCACACCGGGGATGGAGAGCCCAGAGGCGCCAGGGCAGAAGAATGCAGGCTGAGCCGCTGCTGCCCACTGCTCCCCACTCCCCTGCCCCTGGCCCCGAGGTCCTGTGTTCGCCACCATGCACTGGTGCGTCCTGCAAAGGATGGGACGCAGGTCCTCCTGGTCAGCTCCCCACCCCAGGCCTGGCTTCAAATCCACAGGTCGCCTGACAGCAAACCTGGAGACCAACCCAGGCCAGGGTCCCCGCCGGGCCCCCTGGGACGCTAGGTGGACACACTGAACTGAACCTCGGAGCAAGTGCTTTCTCTCCTGTGCTGCTCCAGGCCACCTAGAGCCACACGGCTTCGGCCGCCAGAGGGGAGGGGGCCGGGGAGGTGGGGGGGAAGCCTGCAGTCCCAGGGATGCCGGGGCCTCCTGTCTCAGCACTTCTGCCCCAGCCTTGCTCAGTCAGAAAGGCCGTGGGTGGGGAGTTCTAGAAAACCCAACACCCTGTGAAGCTTCTACAACCTGCACGTGACTCTGGATTAGCTCCAGACTGAGGGTGCGGGACTGAGCACAGAGGGTGGCTGTGCCCAAGGAGAAAAGCACGGGACCAGCATTCCTGGCTCTGCCCAGCTTCGCCTGTAGGACCAGGGGAAATGCCTTCTATTCTCGTTTCTGTATCACCCAACCTTAAAAGAATACAAAAAAACCTTTTTATTTTATTATTTATTTATTTGAGAGAGAGAGAATGAGAGACAGCACGAGAGGGAAGAGGGGCAGAGGGAGAAGCAGACTCCCCACCGAGCAGGGAGCCCGATGTGGGACTCGATCCCGGGACCCCAGGATCATGACCTGAGCCCAAGGCAGTCGCTTAACCAAATGAGCCACCCAGGCGCCCCAAAAAAATCTTTTTAAACTATGACCCTGCTTCCCAACACAGCTCCTTTCGTTCTGAACGTTTATGGAGCTGTGACAGGTTTATATGTGAGGATGTCCGGGGGGAGCATCCACAGAGGCCACGATAGGCCAGGCCTTGTGTGGGGCTCCTCGGTGAGTGGACAGTTCTGTTCTCTCTCTCCGGCTGGCTCTGCCCCACCCCACCCCTCGTGCCGACCACAGATGTCCCCAAACGTGGCCCAGCGTCCCCTGAGGCAGGATCACTTCCAGATGAGACCCCCTGGTCCACGCTAAGAAGAGCATATGCTCAAGTCAAATCGACAGGAAGTGGTACAGGAGATAGCACAACTGGGTCCCTCTGACCCCAAATCTCACACCCTGCGCAGCGTCACATGCTTTCATTTTGTGTATGTGTTCTAAATATTCTGGAAATTGTGCTTTTATTAAGTTAAGTGGTACATGAATACCGTTTTATAAAAAAACTCAACTGCAGGGGCACCTGGGTAGCTCAGTCGGTGAAGCATCCGACTCTTGGTTTTGGCTCGGGTCATGATCTCAGGGTCATAGGATCAAGCCCCTCACTGGGCTCTGTGTTCAGCACGGAGTCAGCTTGAGACTCTCCCTCTGCCCCTTCCCCTGTTCACTCTCTCTCTCTCTCTCTCTCTCTCAAAACAAAAACAACTATAGGTAAGTAACACTCTCATCTCCCAAAAATTCCACTTGCCTCCCCTGAAGTGTGACTTCCAGATCCTTCTGTGTGTTTGCATATGCATCCATATGCACTGGGAAATACAGAGTTTAAAAAATATATCTAAGTGGGCTCACATTATGCATATTTTCTCCTCGGGGATTTTCTCCCTCGGCACATACACACCATCTCGTTTCTCCACTGCCAAGTGGCCTGGTACAGCTATCTCTCCCTTACCAGCAGATGTGTGATTTTTCACTATTACAGAACAAGGAGGCGTGTGCTTCAGATGTGACTAGATCCCAAGAAATACCAACAGGTGCCTCTGAATGGTCAGTAAGCTGCTCCCCCAGATAACCACTGTCTGCAAGGTCCATGCCTGGAGTTGTCCCAGTGATAGCCCCAGGCCCCGGGGAAACCACCGCCCGCTCTACGCGCCAGACGCTGGCCCAGTGAGTTCACCCTTCTGTGCTGAGTCTGGGCTGCTCATCACCCACTCAGGGTCTTTGCTTGCAAGCCGGGGCTGGAATCGACCAGTCAGAAACAAGGGCCAATTCACACCCAAACCTGCACAGAGATGAGGTCTCACCCTCTGCTCGCTGCTCCAGATGCCGCAGGAAGACTGGCTTCCCCCACCCCAGCCCCAGGAGTCAGGCACTGGCACCCCTCGGCTCTACAGGTGGAGGGGGGAGAACCTGGTCCCAAGTCACGCCACTAGGAGGTTAGCGGTGGAGTACACGCCTGACCCCAGGGTGTCCCCCACTACGGCACGCGGACGAATGTCGCAGAAATGTCACGCATGCACGCACGCACAGGAATGCCCTGGGCACGGGCACAGTTCTGGAGCGGATTACGTGACGTGGAAACACTGTGAAGGGCGGTGGGGCGGAGGCTACCTCCCCCTTCCGGTACTTTTACATCATTTTATTCCCCTCGCCCCTTCCTTGCCCACAGCGCCCCCTCCGGCAGGCTCATTGCTGACTTGAGAACAGCAGAGCTGGAGCTCGGTGCTGGGGGAGCACAGGTGCACCCTCACCTGACGGTCGCCAGGGCACTATCCCTCACTCCACTGCCCTTCCACGCCCGGCACAAAAAGCACACCAAAAAATCCAACTAGGAATTTGCAGAGGATGAGCACAATAAACCACTGGGCTCATCTCCCTCCGCATCAGTGTAGCTCGCTCCTCATGCTGAAAACCTCTGCTTCAAGTTCACTGAGAACAAAAGCAGAAGGTGAGCCAGCCTGTGACGCTCCCCCTCCTCCAAGAGCGCAAGCACCGCCTTCAGGGAGAACAGGGAGGGGAGGTGGAGGGACTCCCTGTATGGCAGTGAGTGCCAGGCAGCCGGCGGGTCCCACTTCCGTCTCCCTTCGCAGGGGAGGACAGGCTGCGGTGGGACGCTGCCGGGCGGGGGGCCTGGGCCCAGGTAGGGGCAGAGCGGGGGGGCGGGAAGCACCTTCTTCAGGGCACGGCGACCCCGCCACGCGGCTGCTCTTGATGCATTCCTCACAGGCGCTTGCTCAAATTCACTTCCTGCCTCCGTTACAAAATCGTCAGTGGGGACAGCGCTGCGCCTGCGAGGCGTAACCGAAGCTGCTGGGCCTAAGGCCACCGCATCCTGGTTTTGCAAGGGCCCCGAAGGGCCTGAGCCTGGACAGCCGGGCGGCAGGCAGCCCCGTACCCGACGAATCAGGCTTGGCGCGGGGTCGGCGGCATTTCCTCCCAGGGCCCTCAGCTCTGACCACTTCTGCTTTCACTGTCCCCGATCCCACCCATTTCTGAGGTTCAAGACCAGAATTTCTTAACAAGGGGGCTCATCGGAACCAACCATGGTGGTTTGAAACAAGATCGGTTCCTGTGTTCCACCCCAGAGCATCTGATTCCACAAACCTGAGCTGGGCTGCAAAGCTGGGCCTCGCCTCGAACAGAGCACCCAGATCGCTTCTCTCTCCTCAGGGGGTGCTTGGGAAGCAGCCATCCAAGTCTCCACCACCTAGGCCCTCGGGCCCAGCCATTCCACCTTTGGGACCTTATCCCACCTCTGGCCCAAGGACATTTCTCCCGCTGTCGCTCCCCACAGGTCAGAAACAACCCGTGTCCACCACCAAGACAGTGTTCGATAAACCACCTTACAGGCACTCGCCGTGGCTGGAACATGGACAGTGGGGAAAATGACGCCAGCTCCCTGCGCGCCAGCAGGGAACGGCTTCCGCCACGTATCCGGGGAGAGGCCAGGCTGGGCGAGAACTCCCGCCGTTCTCTAAGCATCTTGGGCTTAGAGAACCAAGGGATCTACGGGCACACGCTTGCACAGCACGGAGTATCTCCAGAAGGACCCCTTGGAAACAAGTGTGCTTTGCATCTGAGGACGCGGGCTCAGACAGGGGGGCAGGAAGCGCACTCACCATGTGCTCCATGCAGATGCTGATCTCACCGTCGCTGTAGAAGGCCCCATAGAAGCCCACAATGTACGGAGAGTTACACTCATGCAGCACCTGCAGCTCACGGATGATCTGGTTCCGGATGGCCGGCTTGATTTCCAGGTGGATTAGCTGCGGGAGAAAGCAAAGGGCGCTCACAACCAGGCCTCTGAGGGGCCCAGAAGGAGGGGCCTTTGGCCCCCTGCCCTTGATGTGCACACGACAGCATTCAAAACTGTGCAATCCACTCCTAGGCATTTACCTAGAGGGGAAAAAAAAAAACATGTCTACACACAAGCTTGCACGCCTGTGTTCACACAACAGGACTCACGATTGCCAAAGCATGGAAGCCACCTAAGTGTCCGCCCAAAGGTGAACAGATAAACATGCACCCACACACACAGAGGCAGGCTACTCCGCCAGGAACAGGAGCGAGGCGTTCTTTTTTTTTTTTTTTTTTTTAAGATTTTATTTATTTATTCATGAGAGACAGAGGAGGAGAGAGAGAGAGGGAGAGAGAGAGAGAGGGAGAAGCAGAGGGAGAAGCAGGCTCCCAAGGAGCAGGGAGCCCGATGTGGGACTCGATCCCAGGACCCCGGGATCATGACCTGAGCCGAAGGCAGACGCTTAACCATCGGAGCCACCCAGGCGCCCAGGAGCGAGGCGTTCTTAAGAAGAATTCTCTTCCCACCGAACTGTACAAAGTACCGCCTTTCCCAGGACCTAGACCAGGGATGCCCATGACCTCGCCCCTCTCAGTGGGGGTCTGCTTCTGGAACCCTTCCCCCTCCGGGCTGGAGACGACACAGAGAGAGTCTCAGACCGCCACCCGAGGAGGCTCCTAGCTCCCCTTAGACCTGAGTTCAAGTCAGTAGCCGTGGGTCGTCACCCACGGCATCACGACGTTCAGATGGGAAGACACCCGAGGACTGCCTGGAGAGATGCAGGACACAGGTGACAAAGTGCCAAGAGCAATGCCCAACAGGAAAGAGTTGAGGCCGGGGCTCCACGTCCTGGCCACTTAGAATCTCAGTTGCTCCGACCATTGCAACACGACAAGAAAAAGGTGATTTCTACCCACCTGTCAGATCAAGGGTGTCTGAACCTGTTGCCACAGATCCTACATTTCATCGGAACCCTGTGATGGGGAGAGGGAATGGCAAAGACTTGCTCGGAGTGGATGCACGCCTGGAAGGACAAGTGGGAGTTGGCCAGACGGATACGGTGGGGTGGGTGTTCCAGGCGGCGGCGGGGGTGGGGGGGGGGCAAAACGCTGAGGGCACCAAGGCACGAAGGGGCATGTGCCAAGTTCAGGGAGGCACAGGGTATGTGTGGGGAGCAACACCCGCTCCCCAATGACCCTGGCCACCTTGGGAACTGCAGTAGGTCCTGGTGGGATGGTGCCCGGGGCTTCTCGCCACTCCCAGCAAAGCTTCATGCCTCCCCCTGCAAAGGCAAGCTCTGGCCATGGGTTCCAGGCCCTGTACTCCCCCCAGGGCCACCCCCAGTAGGACCCAGGGATGCTCTCTCCTTTGGTGGAACCACACCTGTGATGTGATGCCCAACAAGCACACACGTGAGAGGCTGGGTCTGAAAATGAAGTGTTGCGGTCTATGTGGAAGGCAGGAGGTCTGCTCTCAAAAGCCCAGAGAGGATTCATTGAGACCAACAGATGGACCATGGAGGGTGATGGAGGCCAGCAACAGCCAACAGAAATACAATCAGGCCTCATGTTTAATTTTAAATCCTCTAGCTGCCGCATTACAAAAGTACAAAGAAACAGGTGAAATGACCATTTTTACGTATTTTAACTCAATGCAGTATATCAAAAAATTACTTTCAACATGTAATCCATGTAAAAATATGAATGAGATTGCCCCATACTGAGCCCTTGAAATCTGGCATATTTCTTTGCATGAACAGCATATCTCAGCTGGACTGACCCCATCTCAAGGGCTCTGTGTCCAGAGCTGACCAGGGCAGCCGCCGTGGACACTGCAGCTCTCGACCCAAGAACTTCAAAAGAGCCACAGATGAGTGACCGAGCTGGGGAGCGAGAACCCTACAGGCTTCACACAAAGGAAGGGGTGGACAAAGGTGGGCAGCACTGGACAGAAACCCAGAGGTCACCGGAGCCCGGAGTTGGGGCCTTCCACATGAAGTAAGGCCACAGGAAGTCAGAGGCTTTTGGGGAAGATGCAGTAGGGAGGACGCAGGTGCCCACGGGCCCCTTGTATCCGGGCCTGTAGAGCGAGCCTTCCAGATCACTGAGGAGCCACGCTGAGAGCATACGGAGAAAGCAGGCACGGGAAGCAAGGGCACATTTCTGAGCATGCGTGGTCACACCTCACCCTGACAACAGCCCTTGCGGGGATCGCCCCCACTGCACTGATGAGCAGCTTCAGGTTCTGCGAGGCTCAATCCTGTTTCCAGGGGCACATGCTGCTGAGCAGTCAAGTCCGTGTCGGGGCCGGGCTCCCAGATCACCAAAACCCACGCTCTCTCCACGCCACCACCTTAGGGTTATGCACACTCCAGGAGCTGCTTACATAGGGATGGCGCGAGGCATTCGAACCCAACACCAAGCCCATCTAGGAGTTTAAGGCGATTTCTACTGCAGAATGGGGGTGCGGGGAGTACACACAAGAAAAAGAGGAAAATAAATTCTGGAGGTGAAACAATGACATCTTCCATCACGTCAGGACCAACTGCAAAGGGCAGACCTGAGAGGGTTCGAACCCAATTCAGACGCTGACCCACCTTGGCCTGTTTCCTCATGTGTAAAATGGAGCTGTTGCTCAACTGAAACCAGAACACGACACCGGCTCTGACATGGGGCAGTCACGTGAAGGACGGCCGAAGGACCAGGACGTGGCCTTGCAGAGTCACAGACCTCCATCAGAGGCAAGCAAGCCCTCGGGGCCCACACAAACGCGAGGCCCAAACACGCTCCTCCCGCAAGTCCAGGGGAGTCAAGGAAGGCACGTGCCTAACACACACGCTAACTTCATCATATGGCTCTCCTGGCCCGAGCAATGCAGAGGTTTTGCTCTTCGGGCTCTCAGAAGGAGATGCAAGAGGAGTCAGAACGCCACGCATGAGTCAAGAACACGCTTACCATCACGTGCAACTGTAAAAATTGAGACCAGTTCACTTGGGGCTTACATAACTGGTCGCCCTGCTCTCCCGGCAGGTCATACTGGTTAGGAAAATCCTCTGCCAATTGAAGGGGCTACAGGGATGCTGGCAACAAAGGGTGCTCGCCCGCGGGGAAGCCCCACCCCAGCCCCTAGTTTCCAGCCCTGTGGCAGGCTGAATTTGGAGATCTGGTGAGCTTAAGTACTTGGAAAGCACGGAATCCATACGCGGCACCTGGAAATTCAGAGTCCACCCAGGGTAGTAGGGAGAAGGACCGAGGCTGGTTTCCCCAAAACCACTTTGCCACATCAATTTCCCATTGGTGCCCGCAGCTGAATAAAGACAAACTGGCCTCGCGGGTGAACTGGCATTCTAGCTAGACTGAAAGGAGCCCTTGACTCCTGGGGACCGGCGCGAGCTCCGGGGCCATCACGGAGTCATAGCCCGGAGCCACACGACGGCCGGGTGGCCGGCCTTCTCATTCAGCGCGCTCACCAGATGCTTGTGGGCACAGCTGCACCCTGTGCCCACTGTCCAGGGCGTGCGGCCGCTCAGGGCTCACACCACGGGGAGCTCACCACCTACAGAGAACCAGACTGGACGTCCTTCTCCCCCCAGATCTCAGACCTACTTTCCTGGAGCTTTTTACTTTGAAAGACTTACGGAAGCTCAGGAAAGCTCTAGCACCAGCAGTGCCCTGCGCAGCCTCCACTCACTGCCCACGGTGGTGTCTCCTGTGGCTGAAGGACAGTGTGAAACCTGGAAACCTGCATCGGGCCGGCACCGTGACCGCCCGGCGCCACTCATCTGGGCGCCCAGCCTCATTCATACCCTCAGATCTGGCTCCAAAGGCTTTCACAAAGTTGCGGAGCAGCTCCCGGAGTCATGCTTACAAGGCGCACCCGGGCTCCCCGCCCCCACCCCACCAGGTGACGGCTCAGCTGGCTTGGGGACGCTCCGGGGTCCCTGACGCCGACCTGGGTCAGGGCTCTGTTGGCAGCCCCCCTCCCGCCCCGTCATCCTCGGAATCTGACGTCTGCCTTTCCGGTCCCTGTTCGCGAGGTGACGGCAGACCCGAGATGTCCGGGGCAGCTCCGGGGCAGCAAAGGCTGCCCGTGGTGCAGGGACAGAGCCAGGGCTCGGAGGGCAGGCAGGGCTCCGGGGGCAGAAGAAGTAGTTACAACGCGGAGAGCCAGCACGGCGCTCCCGCAAAAGGCAGGGCAGCGCCCTCCACCCGGGCGTGGGGTGGCCGGCTTTCTGAGCACACGGAGTGGGGACTACGGGGGAAGGGGCTTCCGGAAGAGCCGGCTCTCCGTGCCCGAGAGCACACGCCTGTAGGAGCGGAGTAATTTGTCACATAAGGTTCCCTGGTTGTGTCTGGGAGCCACTATCCCCAAAGGGTCACATCCTCTTCTCTACCCGTCCATGTGTGAGGGAGGCTTCTCGACCGCTTAGCTGGGAGCCCGGGTGAGGAAGCCAGTCCAGAACAGTCAGGATGTTTCTGAGAACGGGAGTTTAAGCCCTGGAGGGCAGAGGTCGGCGACGGAAGGGAAGAGCTGCTCGAGGCAGACGGGCCCTGCCATGTCTCAACCAGAGGCCGGCTCCCCCTGAGGACAGGGCGAGTGCTGAGTGCTCGGAGCCCAGGGGCGTATCAGGAAGCAGAGGCCTGCACCTTTCACACCTCTCTGCCGTGTCGGGGGGGGGGGGTGGGCCCTGTCTCATCACGCGCCGCGGCAGGGCCCGGGGATGGAGCGCCCGCCCTCACCTTTCTCGCCATGATGAGGCCGGAAGGTCTGTGCTGGACCTTGGTGACCACCCCACCGTTCCCGGCTCCCAGCTCCGAGATTCGTTCGAAGTCATCGTCCTTGAGTTCCCCGACCTTGGCCTTCTGGGTGAGGAAGGCTTCCAGTCGCTTCTTCTGCTGCTCGTCGAGTTCTAGCTCCGCTAGCTTCTTCTGGAGGTCCACCAAGTTTGCTCTGCAAAGACCCCAAGGGCAAGGGCTAGTGAAGAATGTGCAGGCTGGACCCGGCCAAGCTTACAGGGAGGCCGCTGCGTGCCAGGCCCCAGGTGTGTCGCTGCAAGGACACGGGGATGGATCAGACACCAGCCCCTCCCTCAGGACTGGCTCTGGTTCAGTGGTGCGAGTCTCAGACCCAGGAGCCCCCCTTCCTGACACGAGGACTCCAGACCACGTTGGAAGGAGATGCGGGAACGGGGGGCGGTGGGGGGGGATGCTGAGCCACAGATCAGGTGAGTGAAGGCTCAGGCCAGGACTGAGGAGCAAACTTGTTCTGAGTGGTCTCAGGGCCAAGAGCAAGAACCAGCGGGCAGAAGACAGAAATTGCAGGATGTGTGCCTTTAATGCACATGAATGACGCATGAGCACTTGAGGGGAAATGAAGAGGGGCAGAAAGCAAACAGTGCAGACATTTCCAGGGCATGCTGCTCAGCCAGCATACTCTTATGATATGACTCTAAACATTAAGCATTTACATGCACAGACATTCCTGGAGCCAGTCATTAAAAAAACCAGCCAGGGGCGCCTGGGTGGCGCAGTCAGTTAAGTGTCTGATTCTTGATTTTGGCTCAGGCCATGATTGGGGTCATGAGATCAAGCCGAGTCAGGCTCCGTGCTCAGTGCGGTGTCTGCTTGGGGTTCTCTCCCTCCCTCTCCACCCCCACTCTCGTGCTCGCTCTCAAATGTTTTTTTCTTTTTTTTTTTAAAGATTTCATTATGTGACAGAGAGAGACACACGAGAGAGGGAAATAAGCAGGGGGAGTGGGAGAGGGAGGAGACTTCCCGCAGGGCAGGGAGCCTGATGTGGGGCTCGATCCCAGGACCCTGGGATCACGACCTGAGCCGAAGGCAGACGCTTAACCGACTGAGCCACCCAGGCGCCCCTCAAATAAATAAATCTTAAAAAAAAACAAAAAAAACCCCACCGAACCATGTAAACTGCACTTTATTGGGTGATTCGAGGAATTTCCCAAGGAATTTTGATAGTAAGCTATTTTCACTAACGCCTTGACTTTGAACCAAATCCTGGAGTCAAAAGCAGCGCCCCATAACAGGCGGGCAGACATCAGCTCAATGCACACAAGGACCAACCCAGTGCTGTCCAAAAGAAATAGTATAAAAGTTACGTGTGTAATTAAAATTTTTCTAGCCATGTTAAAAAAAAATATATCAGGTGAAATTAATTTTATCATATTCAACTTAACCCATCAAAAATATAAATTTCAGTATGAAATCAGAATAAACAAATTAATGAATATTTTCCTTTTTCTTCATATGAAGTCTTTGGAATCTGGAATGCATATTATCCTTCCAGCTCCCCTGAATTTGGACCGGCTAGCCACATTTCAAGCACTGGCAGTGGCCACGGGACCACAGAGGGTGGGTCGCTAAGAAAAGTCTCTAAAGGACCTTGGGTGATCCCCAGCCACCAATTTCTGAGGGCATTTAAGCCCAGGCTGACCCCCAACCCGGGGGAAGACCTGGTGGGGGGATTCAAGCAGGGAATGAAGGGGGAGACTGGAGCTCTCTCAGGAACCTCCCAATCCTCAAATTTGACTGTAACTAGGCTAGAACTTAGAGGCCTGAGCAAAGGGGCACTGGCTGGGAAGGAGATGAGGAAAGTCATCTGAGCTGCTACAGCAAAGTTGCTAGAAGGCAGGGGGCTAGGTGCCACTTCCTGAGCACATATCAGGGCTTTACAAACCCCACTTTGTTTCACTCTCAAGATCTTCCTGGGACATGGGTATCTTGTAGTCCCAGCCCACGCAGGAGGGAACAGGCTCAGAGAGGTTAAGTAACTTGCCTGTGGGTCACAATGGAAGGAAGTGGCAGTGCCTGGAATCAAACCTGCATCCTCCCGCACCGCAAAGCCCTGCTCATCATGTCATGATGCTGAGCCAGGACTGTGGGCCTACTATGTGCTCCCTGAATGCCTGGTTAACAGAGACCTGGATGAGGAAGGGACAGAGGAGGGAAGGCAAAGGAATGAATGTACATGACAAGCTTCCTTCCTAAATGGTTGAAGAGGTGGCTTTTGAGGCCAGACTCCGCAAAGTTGTCTTCGCACTGCCCTATGAGCTCGAACATGTGTTCTGGAGTCAGCTGATTAATCCCCTTTAAATGTAATAGCGACCCAGCTGTGGTTATAAAAAAACCCTGGAATTCCAATGGCTGGCTTTCTCTGCAGGGGGAATTCTGGAAGGGATGGAAATCAGAAACCACGTAAAAGAAAGGAGAGAGAATGAAGGAGGCGCTCTCCTGAGAAGAATAAGCAGCAGACTTTTGGAAATAAGGAACACATCCCCATGTCGAGCTGCCTGCTCAGGGAAAGACGTCAACTCACACACACAGGCCTCAGACTCTCTGGCTGGGGGCACAGGAGCCATGTCCCCTGAGAGGCACCACACAGGCTGCTCCCCATCACACCTGGTTCTCAGGGGGTCACACCACAAGCACAGCAAACAGACCCCAGCCAGGGGCCTCTGGAACCGTCCTGCTCCTCTTTAGCATGGGGAACAGGAGTGGGGAGGTCACAAGGACTTCTTCTGTGGCCAAGGGGTCACCCTCGCTTGACCTCGCAAGCATGTGCCCCTCCCACAATATGATGCCGCCCATCTGGAGACCCCACTGTCCCAGATGCTCCTTTCTGTCCCTTCCCCCCGAGTCCTCCTGTCTGCTTCGGTGCCTGCGGCTCCAGCCCCTAGAGGCTCCTTCTCCTCCTCCCCACCAGGATCCTGCAGTTGACCTCACTACTCAAGGGCCGCGCCTGGCCCTGTCCCCTCAGAGACCCCTCAACCAGTCTTCTCCCCTCAGGGGGTCCTGGCTCATCTTACCCTTCAGGGAGCCCTCAACCACCCTTCCCCTGGAGGGAAACTTCCCCCCATTCCTCTCCTCCCAGGAACCCCTTCACCCCATTCTTTGGTATGCAAGGACCCCCCCCAACTCCAATTTCACTGCTCAGGGCCCCATACCCCATCTTCTCCCTCGGGGACCTCCTCCTGCCTTGATTCACCGCTCAGACTCCTTGCCCCATCCTCTGTGGGCAGGAACCCTCCCTCAACTCCATTTCACTCCTCGAGACCTCCCACCCCATCCTCTCCACTCAGGGACCCTCTCCTGACCTCGGTCCTCAGGGTCCCACACCCCATCCTCTCCACTCACGGCCCCCCTCCGCTCAACCTCACTACTGAGAGCCCCACACCCCATCCTCTCCACTCAGGGGACCCCCCCCACCGACCTCACTGTTCAGGGCCCCACACCGCATCCTCTCCATTCAGGGACTCCCACCCCATCTTCACTCAGGGCCTTTCTGCCCCATCCTCTTCACTGAGGGACCCCCTGCCCCGACCTCACTGCTCAGGGACCCGCACCACATCCTCTCCATTCAGGGACCTCCTTCCCCCATCTTGCTACTCAGCGCCCCACAACCCATCCTCTCCACTTAGGGACCTCCTCCCCCGTCCTCATCACTCAGGGAACTCCCACCCCATCTTCTCCTTTCAGGTCCCCCCCTTCTACGGACCTCACTACTCAGGGACCCCCTCCCCTTCCTCACCCCGGCCAAGCCCGGCCCACTCACTCGGAGGCGCCCTCGCTGGTGGGGGACGGGCCCTCGGCGATGGCGGGGTTGATAGTGAGCGCCGGCAGCACCGGCTTCCTCCGGGCCAGCATCGGGGCTCCGCGGGCCGGCGGCGGCGGCACCTCTAACCGGGGCCCATAGGGGGCGGGCCGGGAGCGGGCGGCGCCGACGCGAGCCCGGGGCTGCGGCCGCGGCCTAGGCGGGCGCCCGGGTGGTGAGTGAGAGCGTCGCTGCGGACCCGGGCCGAGGGGCGCCGAGGTGCCCCGGGGCTGAGGCCGAGGAGCCGCCGCCGCCGCCGCAGAAAAGGCCCGTCCGAGGCTGACGCTGCAGCCGGAGCCCGGGAGGCCGCGGGCAGGGAGGGGGAGCGACGAGATTGCGGGCCGGCCTCTCGCGAGAGCCAGCACCCCTCACCGCGAGGCCCCGCCCCTCACCGCGGCGCGTGCGCACCAGCCCGAGGCCGCCTTCCCCGTGGGGGAAAGGGGCGGGGACCTACCGAGGCGGTGCCCGGAGTGTGCGCGCCCGCTCGCTTCCCCCGCTGCTGCTTTGCGCATGCGCCTGAGGCTCTGGGCGGAGGCGCAAGGGAGGCGGAGCCTGAGGGAGGCCTCTTAGGGGCTGATGAGAGTGGGCAGGTGCGCGGAGCTGAGGCCAGGCCCGTGTGAGCCTTGTGGTGCCCGACTGGGGCTACAGGAGCCACGAAAATCCCCAAAAGTTGTGCGAGAGACCACCCAGGGTCAATTTTAGTCTTGTTGTCGCTAATGGACACACAGCCCCCCGAAAGAAAGATCATTTCAAAACATTTTTTTTAAGTTGTGGTAAATATATATGACATAAAATTCACCACTTTATATTCTAAGTGTACAGCTCAGCGGCATGAAGTACCCCTGTCCTGCGACCACCCCCACCCTCCGTCTCCAGAACTTTCCATCTCCCCAAACTGTCCCCACGAAGCCCGGACTCCCCACCCCCTGCCCCAGCCCTGGCTCCCACCGTCTCCGCTCTGTCTCTGTGAACCGGACTCCTCTGGGGACCTCAAATAATTGAAGTAATGTGTTAAAAAAAAAAAAAAAACAACAGGCCCAAAATGGATTCACTCGTGTTAAGCCCCACGTCAGCAAAACAAGACTTAGTACCTAACCTAACTGCGGTTTTTTTTTTCTTTTTAAGGATATTATTTATTTATTTGACAGCACAAGCGGGCAGAGCGGCAGGCAGAGGGAAGGGGAGAAGCAGCCTTCCTGCTGAGCAGGGAGCCCGATGTGAGGCTCGATCCCACGACCCTGGGACCATGACCTGAGCCGAAGGCAGCCGCTTAACCGATTGAGCCCCCCAGGCGCCCCTAACCTAACTGCAGTTTTGGCCTTTCCCAAGAATGTGACCTTCAGTCAATCTGGTGGTCGCAAGTAAGGCAATCCGCCTGATAAACCCCCCGCCTTCCCCCAAAGGAAGGAGACTCCGGCCTGAAACAATCTACTCTTTCCTAGAGACTTCCTTTTTCTGCCTGCTTCTGCCTATAAAAACCTTCCCTTTTGTACAGCTTCTCGGAGTTCCTTTCTACCTGCTAAGATAGGATGCTGGTCGTTTTATTAATTATTAAATAAAGCCAATTCGATCTTACATTTACCCAGTTGAATTGTTTTTTTAACAATAGAGTATTTGTTCTTTTGCGCCTGCCTGATTTCACCAAACATAGTGTCCTCAAGCTTCATCCATGTTTTAGCAGGTGTCAGAATTTCCTTCCTTTTTAAGGCTGAATAATATTCCATTGTGTGAATGGATGGCATTTTGTTTATCCTGTCATCCATTGGGGGGTATTTGAGTTTTTCTACCTTTGGGCTGTTATGCATTCCTGCCATGAACACGGTGCACAAATATCGGTTCAAGTCCTGCTTTTAATTCCTCTGGGTATCTACTCAGAACTGGAATTGCTGGGTCATATGGTAAGTCTATGTTTAATTTTTTGAGGAATCATCATACTAGTTTCCGCAGCAGCTACTCCATTTGATGAGAAAAGGACGCTCTGACACCAATTAAAAAAAAAGGGGGGGGAAGAAGTACACGGCACAGAATAAAGAACAGTCATTTAAATGGGAAAAAAGTTGACTTCACAAAAATCTCACCAACCACATTGGGCTTCTTTTTGTCACATCCTTGAGCATCCATGTACATATCATGGTGGCGTGCACCTTTGGGAACCACGTGCAAAGAAACAGGGAAAGGCTCAATCGACACCCATCTGCCAGGGTCCAGCCCAGGTCCCGTGGTCACCCTGGCTCAGTCCTGTCCCCTTCTTGTCCAGCTGTCCTTCAGTCACTCCTTTTTTTTTTTTTTAAGATTTTACCCATTTATTTGAGAGGGAGAGAGCATGAGCGAGAGCAGCAGAGGGAGGGGAAGAAGCAGACTCCCCACCGAGCTGGAGCTCGATCCCAGGACCCTGAGATCATGACCCGAGCTGAAGGCAGCCATTTAACCAACTGAGCCACCCAGGCGCCCCTCTTTTTTTTTTTTTTTCAAAGATTTTATTTACTTATTTGTCAGAGAGAGAGAGAGACAGAGAGCACAAGCAGGGGGAGCAGCAGGCAGAGGGAGAAGCAGGCTCCCCGCTGAGCAGGGACCCCCCCCCCCATGCAGGACTCGATCCTAGACCCCGGGATCATGACCTGAGCCAAAGGCAGACACTCAACAGACTGAGCCACCCAGGTATCTCCCCTTCAGTCATTCTTTTGGCCTTCAGGTTGCAGTGCTCTTTATATGACAGATACTGTAGTGGGCACCAGAAACACAATGTTTAAAAAATAGAAACATTATATATACATGATTACAAAATGTAGCGATGATCAAAAGTGCAGTGTAACTCTGGTGCTCCCTGATTAAACCTGCTTCCCCATTTCTATAAGCTGAGCCTTTTCAGCTTTTCCTCCAGCTGTTCCCACCCACTCACTCAAAGTTAGGAAGAAGGTTTATCTGCCTTCAAATAACACCGCGGCCTTCCCCAGCTCTGGGCGTTTCTCTACCTTCTTTCTGTTCTGCAAAGTGATCTCTCCATCATTGTATTTTATTTTAGGCTCTATGTACATATAGTCTTTTCATGTAGCTGTAACTCCCATGTAATAAATGCACAGTTCTTGAATGTTTCATTCCTTGAGCTTTTGCAACTGCATATACCCAGGTAAGCATACCCATGTAGCAAACAAGATGTAGAGCCTTTCCATCACTCCAGAAAGTTTCCTCTGTACCCTTTTCAGTTAATCCCTCTCACTCCTACCGACAGTGGTGTGCTGGTAAATGTTTAAAAATGGGTTTTTGAGATGAGAGATGGACTGGCAAACAGAGAGATGAAAGAGAGAGAAAGAGAGGGAGGAAGAGAGAGAGACAGACTGATTTGTAATGTGTAGTATTCGCCCTTTCTCATGGTGTAAATATTTCCACCGCGGCTGGTTTTCTCCTATCGTGAAGTCGTGAAGAATGGTAGCAATTGGCAGGGATGAGGCAGGACGGGCCACTGCACACCACTACCCTACAGACACCCCAGAGTCCGATTTCTATCCCCATAGATGAGTTCTCTGTGTTCTAGAGCTTCGTGGAAATATAAGTATGTATTCTTCCGTGTCTGACTTCTTTGGCCCTGCACAATGTTTTTGCGATTCATCCATGTGGTTGCATCTAACCGTGACTGGTTCTATTTCCTTGCTGTAGGATACTTCAAGGTGTGTCCTCTGGGCATTGCCCTTCCCTCTTCTTGAGGAGGATGAAGAGATCAAGTGTTTTCTAAAGGCTCAGAATTGTTGGTTTCCCCTAGTTCAGACTTGAGGGCTCAGCTCACAAGCCCCCTTTTCCATAAACTCTGATTCTGCCAGTTGCTGCTAGCCCCCTTCTTCTGGAATTTCTGATATACCCTGCCTGTTTCTGGCTTTTACCTCTTGTCTTCCAACCCACCGTGCATTATGTCCTCCCCACAAGTGATGAACGTTCCGAGGGCAAAGAAGTTCTTGGATTTGTGTCTTTCTCTCCCAGTCCAGCTCCTTGGATATAGTTAAAGCTTTCTACATATATGCTGCTTGAATGAATGTAATGGGTGTTTCTGTCCGGAGGGAGACAAGTTTCCTGCTAGTCATGTGGTTCTCAGCACTTCCTAGAGAACACGAGCTTTTATTGTTGCGATAACAGTATTGATTCATGCCCTCTACCCTCCTCCTTATCTCTACTGGCGAGCACATTTTGCTCTGCAACCTTTCCCTGTTACATATCTCTGAACTTATCATTGAATCTAATCACAGCTCTCTTAGTACATTGGTTCCCTGGTCCCAGAAACTTGGGTGTCTCCTAAATCTGCCCCCAGCCCAGGAAATACATTTCTAATAGCTTTGTTGATAGAGTCAATCCAAGGTGACATTTATCTGGTTGTCGAGGCACGATCTCATGTTAATAGCGCATGTGTACACTCTTCCAATCTCGAAATGTGCCCTGAACTTTATATTTCTTACCTGTAAGATGGATATTAACAAAAACGATGGTTGACATGACCCCCCCCTTTTTTTTTAAAGATTTTATTTATTTACTTGACAGAAAGAGACGGAGTGGGAGAGGGAGAGGCAGGCTTCCCGCGGAGCAGGGGAAATGCAAGTTCCCCCCGATGCAGGGCTCGATCCCAGGACCCTGGGATCATGACCTGAGCCGAAGGCAGACGCTTAACGACTGAGCCACACAGACGCCCCGACATGACCCTTTTGGAAAGCAATTTAGTACTATCTAGAATACATACAACCCAGCAATTCTACTGTTAGGCATCTAGCCTAGGAAACTCCTGGCTTGTATAACCAGGAGGCATATACATGAATGTTCTCAATGGCAGGAATCTGGAAACTACACAAATACAAATCAATGGAAAAAATATGTTCTAGAATAGTCCCACAAAGAGATACTAAGCATCAGAAAACTCACAAATGACAGCAAACAAACAAACAAAAGTCTTGGGAATATGGGGCCCCCGGCTGGCTCACTTGGTAGAGCAGGCAACCCTTGATCTTGGGGTCATGAGTTCAAGCCTTGTGTTGGCCATAGAGCTTACTTAAAAAAATAAAAGTCTTAGAAATATAGAGTTATAGAATATGTCTTTATGACACCATGTTTATAAAATGAAATTGGCTCAGCATCGTTAGCCATTGGGGAAATGCAAGTTAAAACCCCGATGAGATACTATTACTACTGCATGCCATTAGAATGGCTAAAGTAAAAAAGGTTGACAATACCAAGTGCTGGCAAGGATGCAGAGAAACTGGGATTCTCATACTTTGTTGGTGGGAATGAGAAAACAGTACATCTTCTCTGGGAAAATGGTTTAGTGGTTCTTAGAAAGGTAAACAA